CAGTGTAGGCAGCTGTTCAAAAGCGGATCTGAGTTGGAAACCATTATTTCCACCCGCTTTGCAAAAATAAAAGTAAAACAGACAAGGTCCTGACCAGATCCAGTTTGGCTTCAATTAATCTGCCTTCTAGTTTGTTTGCTGAGTGGAGGGAGTTGTTTGTTGTGGTAACAGATTGATGATAGCTATTACTCTTTTGCAATTCACTGCTTAAGGAATATGGAACTACACTCGGTACAAAAGCGAGTAGTGATTATGTTTGATCTCTTTCTCTACGCATCAAAGATACTTTGGCTCACTGTTCTCTGAAAGCATATATATTTTATTTCTCCCCATGCCCAGAGTTCTGATTAGCACTGAGGGTGTATGGAGTGGAACAAAAGGAGCTTGAGGCAAGAACCATTTTTTAAAGGGGTAAAAAAGACAAAGAAAGCAAAGATTGCTAATTCAAGGACTTTCTGTTGCAAAAGACAACAGATGTTCAACATATAGCAGCAGATACCCTGAGACGCAAATTGTGTTGGTAAGCAAGTTCTGTGTGCAGCAATTTCAGGCAGAGGCCAAAGGTGCAGGAAGTTTTGGTAGCATTAGAAATCCTATGGCTCCCAGACAGCATCTAAGGGACTATGGGATATTTCTGATTTCCTGATCAGAGGTCGGAGGCAGAGCTCACACATACTCCCTACAAAATGTGACTCAGTGTGGAAAGCTTCGCTGGAATGAGTTCGACCACACCAGCTATCATGGTTGATTGAACTAAACTCGCCTCTAGGATAGTGATCCTATAACACCTCACCTGGGAGGAAGCCCTGATGAACTAAGGGAAAGGCCCATTTCCCCTAAGAGGAGGATGTGCTTTTGGATGTCAGACTTAAATGAAACGCTTCTTCTTTCCACCTGACCTGCAGCTGCCTCTTTTGTTAATACTCTCTTCCGGTTCACACCAAACAAAACAGTGAGATTAGAATGCTTCAGATACACCACATCCTCTCCAATAAGGCACAGACTGTGTTAGAAGCGTGTCTCTTCACTGCACAGATGTTACGTTGGCCTTAGAGACCTCAATCACTGGCTGGCAGCAGTGGAGGGTGGGAATAGAAAATGAATGGCCTGCATCTTTGCAGAAAAACAGGATGCGATTTGACAGGTAACTGATGTAACATGGCATTTTCATTTCTTAAGCCCTGATGAACTGTTAGGGGAGAACGGCTCTTTCTTTAGCGTTTTTTGAGCTGAGTATTCATTCCATTAAAAGATTTCCACCCTGCCTGTTTGTGGCATGAGGCAGATCACGCCATGGACCGTAACATTAAAAGTCTCTGAAGTATCTGGAAGCTTCGCCCTTCTTCTGGGCTTCAGGATCTGACCTCTTCTGTGGCTGCCTCCCCTTTAGATAGTTGCCACCCCATCAATTGGGTTTTGTCCTTCAGGCTGAGCTGAATGCAACTCACAGGACGTCTCTACACTTCTGCCACTTCTGCACTGTCCATGGTTAGACAAGCACAAGCCGTGTGCTTATTTTTATTTCTACTCTGCTCAGTAGCCAGAGCGCTCTGGGCACTGCATAGCAACTCATTAAGTCATATTGGCTGAGTCTTCCATAATACAGAAATGTAAACATGAATTGAACAGCCATAATATAAGATACAGGGTAGGCACTTAAAAAACCCCCAAGCCCTAAGAACCAGTGTGCGGTCATGGGACTCAGGCGATCTGGGTACTAGTCCCCACTCAGCCATGAAGCTAACTGGGTGACTCTGCTCCAGTCATCAACCAAACCTACCTCATAAGGTTGTTGTTGTGGGGATAACATTGGGAAGAGGAGGAAGAGAATGATGAAAGGCATTTTGAGTTCTTAAAAAAAAAAAAAAAAAGTGGGATATAGACCTAATAAATACCTCCGCATGAAGGGCTGTCTTAACTTGGTGCCAAAAGGATGATAGGGTCAGTACTAAGCAAACCAGTGGGGAGAGGATTCCACTGTGGGGTCACCACTAAGTCTCTTCCACTTATTGCTGAGCTCTGAGGTTCCTTCAGAGATGGCCCTTCAAAGAAAGGTCTAGATGTTTGTGTCTGCTGATGTTAATAGTCATTGACACGTCCCTTGAAGCAAAGGAGAAAGCTTTCTGCACATCTGCTCCATGATCATACTTGACCCCAGTGATTTCCTCCCAGTTCTTCTCTTTTGGAAGATCTCAGAAACCTGGTGTGCAATGTGAAATTCTTATACAAAACACAACCCCTTCCAAGTAAATAATGAACCCTAATTGGAAGCAAACTCAAGTTAAAAGCTTTTACGTACTAAGCATTGCATAGCCTGTGTGTGTAGACAAGACTTCAGAATATTTGTGATGTACTATCCCGACTGTTCTTTAGAAGGCCAGATACTGAAGATGAAACTCAAATACTCTGGCCACCTAATGAGAAGGATGGACTCCCTGGAGAAGAGCCTAATGCTGGGAACAATAGATGGCAAAAGAAGAGGGCGGCAGAGGATGAAGTGGCTGGATGGAGTCACTGAAGCAGTTGGCGTCAGCTTAAGTGGACTCCGGGGGGATGGGGGAGGACAGGACGGCCTGGAGGAAGGTTGTCTGTGGGGTCATGAAGTATCAGGAATGACTTGGCAACTAAACAAAAAACCCATAAGATGTTCCAGTTCTGTAGTCTTAAGGGAATTGTAGTGGCTATTTTTTATCTTCAGAAAATACATCTGGAGTATGTTTCCTCCTTCAAAAAAAGTTGGAGGTGTCCAACATTAAACTAGGGTACCTGGACAGGTGTATGAGCAAGCCAATACACGGCAGCGTTGCACGGGTGCTTGTCACTTCCCCTCCGTACACATTGGATCACCAGATGCCCTCACCAGTCTCCAAAGCAGCGTTGCTGCTGATGTCAACACACATGAGATCAAGTTACTTTCACTCAGAAGAATAAACCTATAAATATCAGCAGCGTGCTTAGTTCTGCACCAGTAAACGCAACCAAGAGGCCGAGTAGGCAGCCTGTGAGTCGTCTCAGCCGTGTCATGACTGCAGCCCTAATGCAGTAGACACGGCATCTGCTCAGCAATACTGTACCCTGCCTCCAGCTGCACTGGGAGGCATCTGTCTGCTGCACGGCTTCACCCCATTTACTTCAGCCCTGTTTGCATGTCTGGTTGCCTTTGACTCAGGATACATCAGAAGTTTGTTCCAGTTCATTTCTGATCAGGGTTTTGCCCAGTTTGCACTTCCTGGGCTGAATCTGCGGCTGAAGTCCATCCATTCCTGAGCTTGCAACCATTTGCATTTTTGCCCTCAACATTCTTCTCATCTCCCAAGTTCTTTGCTTTGTTTGTGAAGACCAAGCAGGTTTTGTCAAGAGGAGAACGGAATGGATTTCTCACCCATCCCTAGGAATACATCTGGATCTGAAGGTTGTCTAGCTATTGTGTTAAGAAGCTATTGATCCCTTGAGTCAGTGGTTGCCCATCATGATAGCTGCCTGCCTCTTTCCCTCTTGGAAGGAACCCAAGCCAAGATAACCCACCTCCTCTCCATTTTATCCTCACAACAACCCTTGGAGGTAAGCCAGACTAATAATCAGTAAGTGGCCCAAGGCATCATGGCTACGAAGAGACCCAAACTGCGATTGCCCAAGTTCCAGTCCATCACTACAGGCCACTTCATTTTTTCAGAGCCTTCAGCACTGCGAGATGAGACAGTTCCATGAAAGCTGAGCACTTTCTCTGGCAAACAAAGACGTCTGAGTTGCACAAATAAATGAAAGGAAAACATGATTCAAAAGCCATGGAGCTTTAACACAGAGACCACTTGTGCCTCATTGGAAGGATGCAGTGCTTTGTCCCGGTGTACTCGGAGGGTTGACCATGAACTCAACAAGAGACCTTGATCAACACACGGATCATTGTGAGATGCCATCAAATGCACAACACCCTGTCAGAACCCATTATGACTACTGCGAATCAGGTTTCTCAGCAACAGATAACTGACTGTGGATTTTTTCCCCCTCCCTTTAAAAAAAGATAAAATAAAAATGTTATTTTTGTTAAGGACCCACATGGCTTACCATCCAGCATTCTGTTTGCCTTGCTGCTTATCTACTTCACATTCCTGCCACTTCGAAGTTTCCAAAAGCGGTGCTGTTATCACTGAGATAGACGGATACCCAACTTCCAATTGGCTTAATCTTATTAATCTGAATGGAGTATTGATTCCAGTTTATTTTATCAGCACTGCTCCCCAGGTCTGATGGATGCCAGGGCATCATTATGATAAATGGATCCCCGAATTTGAGTGAAGGGAAAATGCAGGGCTGAGGGGAGAAATTGCACACTTGAAAAAGCCATGCCTACAAAGCTACCAAGAGGCCATGCCAGGGCTGCTTAATTTCAGATAACCAGCATCGATTAAAATGACATCGAGACAGCACAGCTTTTGTTTGATAAGGACACAAAAGTAATGGCTATCTCTGGATGCCCACATACTTCTCATTCCATTCTGCTAAAAGGAAAATGGTCATTTTGTCTTTCATCCTTGTTTGCTGGAAACCATTATTTTCAATTAGCAAAGGAATTTCAAAGCTCCAAAGAGCCCAAAATCCATGACTGTGTCGCACACACAGAAACAAACATGAGACAACTAGTATTCAATGATTCTAGACTGAATTCTGGAAAACCTCATGCACTAGTCCATCTGTCCAAAGCAGTATGTTAATCAAGAAATAGTCAGAGGAAAGAACAAGCAAATTTACATGAAGCAAGGCTGCAGTTCTGCATGTGCTGTACCTGCCGTATCCCACTGAAGGGTCCCAGTTGGATCCCTGGTAAGTCCACGCTGGGCTAGAAATAGGTGCATTGGAGAAGTCTGCAACAGAGCCAGAGCAGCTCCTAACTAATGAAGGAACGTGAGGCTGGTCCAGGCCAGGCTTTACCCAGTTTCTGTCTTCCATATCAAATGTAGATTCTCACATTAGCTGTAGCCAAAGTACCTTTATCTGCTTACCATGTCATCTGTGGACACAAGTTAATCAAGAAGAGGCGGCGGCCTACATTCCAAGGAATTGCACCATGGATCCTCACATTTCCAGAAATACTTGACAATATGTACAGATTTCTGTGCCAAAAGAAAAAAGAATGTCACAATATGTGATCTTTACCAGACTGAGCTTTGAGATGGAATTTGCAAAAACTTGGGGAGCTGGTCCAAATATCCCTAGCTGATAGATAAGGTGCTTTTTTGGGGGTGCTGGGGGGCATGCTTCAGATTGCCTGGTCCCAGGTTTAACAGATTAAAACCATCTTCATCAGAAGAAATGGTAGAAGGCAGAAAGCACTAGCAAGAAGAGATCCCAGGATGAAACAAAGCCTACTTTCTGCCTTATCACAGACCCAGGCTTTCCAATTAGCAGAAGATGCAGAGACAAATTACTTCAGGCATCTATACTTTCAAAAGCACAATTGCCACTCCTTCTGCGTCCTGGGAGGCTTTGATTTCCTCTCCCAGAGTTTAGTTTTCCACTAGTAGCAGCTGAGCTAAGTAGCTACTAGAGGTTGGAGAGCTGGACTGAAGTCCCCACTCAATCACTTCCTCTCAGCCCAACCTACCTCACAGGGTTGTTGCTGTTGTCAAGATCACATGGAGTTGAGAAGAGCCACATTATGTTGCCTTGGGTGTCTCACAAGAGGAAAAGCAGCATGGCATAAGTCTATGAGAAGACGAAGCCTGAAGTGAACATTCAGCTGTAAAATGTTTATACTCAACATACTTCAAGTTATTTCTACAGGCAAGACAGGACACTATTTAATAGTCCGTCAACTTACATCTCCTTTTGTTCCCCCTGTGAGGTCTCATTTTGACTCCATAAAAGAAGCCTCAGCCTTGAATTTAGGAGAGCAGAACAGGGCTGGTCATGGAGAGGAGGTTTGGGAGGGCTTTAACACCTAGGATCACCATACGTCAGAGAAGACTCGATGGCGTAACAGTCCCATGCTGGCTACATTTCAACTAGCACTCAACGTGCAAGTTTGCTATTAGAAGAAGAGACATGTTTCTTTCTTTATACTGATTTAGAAGGGGAATAGCAGTGGTTTAGAAAAGGGATAGAGGAGGAGTAAAAAATAAGATAACCATCAAAGTGGTCACAAGCAAAGCACTTGAAAAGTTGCCATGTCACATAACATGTTTTGCACAGAAAAACTGAGAAGCTTTCTAAGTACCCACACAATGAGTGCCTTTCATCGTCTCTGTTTGTTTTCTTAATACCACCTGAGATCAAAGAGGTATTTCAAGGAGATGGACAGGAGGTCTTCAGACAGTGACAGGGATCTGGCCCTTAATTTGGCATGTGACTGAACAGAGTATAAACCCCTCCAAACCCCTTCAGTAGATTTCTCCCTGTGTGCTAAGCTGGAAAGACTTTAGAGCATTGTGCTATAAACTGTGTTTGACTCAGCAAGTGACCCAGGAACAAAGAAAGGAACAGAAACACTGTCAGAGATAAATGCTGTTCTCATACACCAGCTCTACAGCCAAGCAGTAAGCATCTTGGAAATATGCCCCCCCACACACACACACCAACCCCCAGGCTCCACCTAAGCTGGCCATGTGTACTACATCAATACTCACATGAGGTAGGACACATCTGTCCTGAAAGACTGTCAGACATCCTGTTTGGGCCAAAACAAACTCTGACCCATGGAAACAATCCACAAACAGGCATGCAGTCAAGTGCCCAGATGGAAGTCCAGTAAGGTCCAGACAGGAGGAGTCAAAGCACAAGCGGAGATCAAAGCACAGTTAAGCCATCAAATACACTGCGCCATCCAGCAGAGAAGTCCAAAGGTCAGCAGTACAGAATGTCCATCATCACAAACTGGAGCAAGGAAACCAGACAGAAGGCCCTGGAACCAAAGAACAACACTAACAACACAGCTGCTGTGAGCTTGCTTATATAAGCAGAGCCTGCTAAGTCCCACCCAGGGCTCAGCTGCATCATATTAGAGTTGTCTGGTCCTACTCATTAGGAGCCACTTTCTCCCAAGGAGACCTTTTTTGACAAGGGAACTCTCCTGTTCCCTAGAGCACTACTAGTCTGCTACATAAGGTTGCCATGCTCCATGGGCCAAGGAGCGGATCGGTTTCTGCCACAGAAACAAGGTGGACCTCTGGCCATCTGCCTAAGAGCCCAGGCTTCTCCTGCTCTTCTGATCTGCAGCCCTCTGCCCTGATGACTCAGACTTCTCCTGGTCTTTGATCATGGATGGTACAATGGCATCTGTCTCTGCAAGCTCAAGGTCCTCTTCAGGAGGAAGGCCCTTCAGCAAGGGCATGGCATGAGAGAACAGTCCTCTGTTTGAAAATGACCTGCACTCAACAGGGTGTATCCAGCCCAAGTCTAGATTAAAGAGAAAGATCCACCATAAAGCAGATCAGGGGCCTTAGTGGTCCAGCAAGATTTAGCTGATCTTGGACAATAGACCTGGCAAGGACACAGATCACTGAATTCCAGTCTTTTGGACCATAGTGAGATCGATTGCATTTCTATTGAACAGGCAGCCATTTTTTCAAAATGTGCACCTATGCATGGAATGCAGCATATATGGAAGGGATGTCATCCTTTTTCCTCACCATAAAAACATAGAAACAGAGCGAGTCAGAAGGGTCCCCCTGGGCCATCTAGTCTGACCCCCGGCTCTAGCCAGCTCTGCTCATGACATGCCTACTGTGTGCATGTCCAGCCTATCCTTGAACACCCTCACGGATGGGGCCTCAACCACCTCCCGTGGAAGCCCATCCCATGCCCTCGGGGTCCTACCTGTCCAGAAGTACTTCCTGGCATCCAGATTGACTTGTGGTTCCCTGAGCTTTGCGCCATTGGAACATGTCCTGCCCTCCTCTGCAGGGGAGAACATCATGAAGCTCTTCTTCCTGGGCAGCATGGGAACGGCTGCGCTGGAACAGCCCAAGAAAGTCAATAGGCCAGCAGTTCCTGCTTTCATTTCCATCAGTTAAGGGAAATGCACTGAAGTTTGGTTGGTGTTGCTTATTTTAATTTTTCCATTAAAACAGAGTAGAAACAAATACGCCCTGCTGGAAAGCAGTGCCCCCCTCCCCGAAGAAGAGGAAGAGGAGGAGGAGGAAGTGCATTCTTTTACAACAAAAGCAAAAGTGCTGGATCTGTTTTAATAGCCTTTCAAATGATGAATTTTCAATAAATGTGATTTTCACAATACGAAGTTTAATATAAGCCTCCACCTAGAAAAGGGCACGTGTGTGTGCCCTCCAGCCACTTGGTAATACTGCAGAATTCAGCTTCAATTGACTTTTTAACCTCGTAGAGCATCCCAAATTAATTTGTGACTTTGCTGCTATAAAAATTGCCTGGTGCTTTCTTACTTCTGTCCTTTTCCTAAGTAGGAAGATGTATGCTTCACATATGTCCGGAGACAGATCTGGGGAACATTTGTCATTTCTGCTTCCAAAAGAAAGAGGTGGCCTCGTCCTCAGAATCCTGCAGTTTGCTATTTTTTGCAAGGGATACTGTGGTAGCTGCATCTCAGCACCATGGAAACCACAATCCCAGGTTCAAGGCAACATGGTGGTATGGAAAAACCATAGAACAAACCATCGTTTCACCTCCTAGTTCCTAAAGACCAAGCTGACTATACCATGGCTGGGTTCAGACATAATTTTAAAAAATGGCTTGTTGTCTGAACCCAGCCATGGTGTAAGGAACCCAGAACTAAATGGACCAATGGTCTGATCTAGCAGGATTATCCTTATGTTCTCGTGTGTGGATTTTGGAGAGATTTTAGATATCTATTTTCTTGTGCATCAGTATAGAGACATGTTTTATACAGAATCTCTCCTCTCCCAGCCATTGCTGTATGTTGGCTATTTTTGCCATAAACACACAAGCATACACATTTTAATTATGTTTTAATCAAAAGCAATCACAAAGGCTTGAACCTGTGGCTTTGCCAGCCATATGCCTAGGAGTAAACGTAACCCTCCAGGCTGTCCATTTACTAAGCTGAATACCCATGATTTCTGGCAAATGAATGTCACATGAAAAATTAAGAACCATAATGCTTGGGAGACATTTGGAACAACTGAGACAAAGATGTCAGAATGAGCCGAGCAATCTCCATGAAATGTCGTTGATTCGCGTTGTGGTGCTTTGTTTGAAAGATAAAAAGAGTGGAACAGGGATGGGGAGAAAGGCTGAGTATGACAGAAGAAGAATTGTGCACTAAAGCTCCTCTGTGTGCACGTGGGGAGGGGGGCTGGCACAGCACGGACACCATCTATTTGGCTTCATTTGGATGGATAATCCAGAAAAACAAAAGGAGGTTGCCCCCCCCCCACACACACACACCATAACACCCAAAGGTCAGTTTATTGAAAACTCTGTTGCATAGCTAGCAATTGGCCAAGATGGGTTTGACTATTCAGTTCTTTTCAATTAACAATTCAATTATTGACATCAGTTGACAAGAGAGCTCCCCAGAAGGAATTCATTTGTTTGCTTGGGATTGGAAGAAGGCCACTGGGAGGGTATACAATATAGACTCACCTGAGTTAGCAAGGTGCTGAAAATTGCTGGGAGGAAGCAGGTGATATTTGTCAGTGTCACCCATCTCTAGAGAGTCATGTGGCTTTGAGAACTTAGATGCTCTGTTCTTCAGGAACTTGACCTTCCTTGATCCAACGCATCTAGCTTAGGCTAGAAGACTGTCCACAGTTGCTTTAGCAAATGCATTGGGCTCACCCAATCTGAATAGTTTCTTGTACCCGCAAACATGCCCAGAAAGCTGCAGTAATCACAAAATCCATAGCAGGGGAGATTAGAGTGAAAGTATTAGGGGCTCTGTGGACGTGGAGACTATCATGATAACTCACATTTATTGGATTTCATGGAGATCAATGCAGTGAGCAGCAACATAAGCCCTTTCCCTGGTTATTATTGTGGTGTAGCTTATTATGAAGAGCAAACACCTTAGATTGGAGGCAAATTATGTACTGAAGCTGAGCATAGGAAGTCAGATATTGAGTTCGAGGTTCTTGGAGAGGCAGAGGATTTAATAGCAGCCCCCAACCCCAAAAGCTAATTCCAAATGCAATGCAATAACAATTATAATTATAATAAATAATAAATACACGCTTGAGGGAGGACCAGGAAATGTTTGAAAATTCTAATCAGAAACCATGAAATTTGGAGGAGCCAGTCTTATCTTGGTTTTATATGAAATGCCCACATTGAGATCATCAGGCTAGTATTATTGGTATTAGCATTAGTATTAGCATTATAAATGTCTAGATACAAGATCATTTTAAGTTTCCAAGGGACTGGGGGGGGGGGGTGGATATCTGTTAGCATCCTCTCTCCTCAGTCTGAGTGTCGCATTAGGGCACCATCCAATCTGTATGCCTGAACTCAGAGTATTTCCTCCTGTGCTCCTACAGCTGACACAACCTCTGAGGGTGCAGAAATGACAGTGAGGGTGCTGCCAGGATTCCTCCTATTTCACAGCAATTCTTCTGCCCTCCTCCCCCTTTAACCCACTCATCTCTATCTCCCCACAGCTCCATTGTGAGCTTTGAGGAGGGCACTTCAAGCACGGAGAGCTGACTACCCAGCTGGAGTACTTTTCCAACCTCATAGCTGGCTCTCCAAACATCTTCTGTACTTCTAGACTCTGTCTAGCATCCATAGGATGATGGTCTTCATCAAGATGGGAGAAAGTTGTGGTTTTTCCATAGCCATATGATTGACTGGTGTGGAAAAAAGCACACCCAGCTAGATAGGCCTTTGTTGTCACCTCAGCATGTGAGAAGAGCCATGTTCAATCTAGTCCAGCATTATATTCCCACAATTACCAATCACAAACCCATGGGAAGATCACAGGCAGGACATAAGTACAACAGACACACACACACAAGATCCCTGGCAACTCATACTGAAGGGCATATAGCCTCCAATTCAGGACTAGTAGACATTCATGGCCTTCTTACAGCCAGGAAGGGTAGGTAAAGGTGCTCTAGCTTAGATTGCTAAGCTTGCATATTTTTGAAAAATGCACACCAACAGCTTTGATCAATCAGAGAAGAAGGCATACATTTCAAAGATGTATGCACAATTGATGCCTCCATTTGGGAAAATGCAAGTGAAAATATGAATGGGAAAAAAGGACACAATCTGAGGTCAAACATGGAATTCGGAGAACTTCAGCAAGTTAGTCTTTGACTGATTTGCAGATCCTTGGGTCCAACAGCCCAACAAAATTTGGAGGTCCACAGCAGGTCCAATGACCTTAGTAGGTTTTAACCATGTGCCGTGTCTTTCTGTTTGAAACCTTGCTAGGTGAAATGGAAATGAGAAGGCACAGCACTGAAAACACCATGTAAAGGCATAGGGGGAGGCCAGTTTTCCTTAGCTGTGACCAGCGGGGCAAAAGACAAAGAGGGCTGGATCCAGGAAAGGATCTCGCTCAACAGAAAGCATTCTGCTCATAGGAAGTTCCTCTACCCAGCTTTTGGGGATCCCTGTGCACACAGCTCACCCCGTGTGCTCCTGGCTGGCATCTGGGGTTGCTGGGGTTGAAGTGGATGTGGTGGAGCTGATCCAGCTTAAATCGGCATCCAGCCAAGAACTCATAAAATCGCTGGTGAGCTTACACCATCCTTTCCCCCTCCCTATTTTTAGCACTGAATGTCACACAACAGAGTGTAGTGATTGTTGCTTCCCTGATTAGCTACAGCTGTAATAACCCTTTAATCCTCATGTGCCATGTTTTCATCTTCTTGATATTTAAATCCCATCTCTGCTTTTTCTATGCCCGATAGACAAGAGCTGCAGTTGCCCCACAAGCCCCTTCGTGGCAATTCTTCCATCTCCAAAGACTGCTGTTCCTGGCACACATAGCAGGCAAAGGGGCTCCTTAAAGAAAAGAGGAAAATAATAATCTGGAGTTAAAGTGTTCTGTCCCCAGGAGTAATTGATAAAGATTTTCCCCTGAACTGTTGCAAGGCCAAAGAAAACTGGCCGATATTTTGTGACACCAGCTTTTCACGGTGCCTTCTTCCACAGTAATAAAATATAACAGGATCAATGAAACTGCTGCTAAGGAAAAAAAATGGCCAATTAAATGGAGGTGAACAATTCATGCTCTTATGTAATGCAGTGTGATTTAAGAATAGAGCTTTGTACATCTATACTGCTTTTTACTGACAACTCATTCCAATATTGCTTATTTTGAAGCACATGACTCTCCTCCATCCTGTATGAGATACATTTTAGTTTCATTCACACAGAGAACTGTACAATATTTGAGTAAGTGGATACTTCAGAAGGCATCTAGTCTAACCCACTTGTTCAGTGCAGGGAGCTTGAAGTACAGCAGTCCTGAGAGATGGTCAGCTAGGAGATTCCCAAGGCTATGCTTCTGTAGAATAGCTATTATGGTTAAGGATATCTCTTTTAAACCCAAGCCAAATATCTGCTTCCTTGTGATTTCAACCCACTAGTTCCAGTCCCTCTGATACAGAAAAGGACAAGTCAGCTGTATCTTATGCACCTTCAGCATTTTGAAGTTGGTTCTCTGGTCTCCCTTTAAACCAAGGATGGGCAGCTTGCATCTAACCAAAAGCTTTGGTCCAGAATTCCCATTAGCCCTACCAAATCAGCATCACCAATGGTGAAGCATAATGGGAGTTGCAGGCCAAAATATTTGGATGGCCTCAAGTTGCTTACCCCATCTTAAACTTTCTCTTCTACAGCCTGTGGCCTAGTTCTTTCAACTATTTTTCCTGAAACTTGGTTTCTAGAAGTCTCACCATCCTGCTAGTGAACCTTCTTTGAGTATATTTTATTTTGTCAATATGCCTTCTTAAAATGTAGCACCCAGTCCTGGACAAAGTGCACAGAACAGAGTGGAATATCTGAATGACCCACAATTCACCTGATAGTTTTATCAAGGGATGGGCAGGCTTAGTTAAATCAATGCGGTTTGTGTTTCACGGGTTTTCAAACAGCTTTAATTCTCTCATCTGCTCACTGGCAGGATTCGATCTTTTCTGCAAGAATGTCATTCATTTGCAAATGTGCATTTGCACAAGTGCACATGAGTTAATGCCCACTTGAGCAAATGTGTATTTGGAGATGAACAACATGGATCATAATCCCCCAGAGCAAGCTAAAAAGAGTGAAATAATTCACGTAATTCACAGGCCTTGGAAACAGACAGCCAGGTGCAGAATCCACGATTCAGATTCAAGGAATTCCAAACCCAGTTGAATCCACTAGCTTCTAGTCTCTCAACCACACTTCGGTCATTTGTTCAGAACCAGGGGATCAACATCTTCTTGCTCTGCCTTCTCCTCCTCATCTACCCCAGATGATAATCGAGAGAGACATTACAGCAACATTTCTTTTGGAAAGGTGCCCTGATTCTCTACATTTGGAAGCCTTCTATTCTGTTTCCAGCTAATCCTGAAATTGTGTTTGGATGCTCAGATTGTTTTCAGTTCTGCTTCTAATTTTGTATGGTGGGGTTTTTTTCGGGGGGGGGTGTTGTTTTTTTTTTAGGAATTTTTGTGAAGCACCCAGAGAACTTTGACAATCAGGCAATACGAAATGCAAATCATCATCATCACCATTACCACCACCACCACCACCACCATCATGGTGCAAAAATCATCCATGAGTCTAAAGAAAACACTTCCAAATCAAGCCGGACCGCTCTATTCAATTTCAGGCTGGTCAGATGTTTGTTTAAAGGAAGACGAGGGAGCAGGTTATTCTGTGTCATTTTCACATGTGTTCAATGATAAATAGTTAATTTTTTTGTTTTATTTTTTTTTAACTTGGCAGAGTTTGAGGATTTAAAAGAGGGCAATCTTTTATCTTTAAATAAGGTACATACACAAACTTGCAGCAAATGGTTTCCGTCCATTCTCCAGTGTGAACAAAGTGGAAACGACACATTATGAATCCACAGAACATCCCAGGACACCTGAAAAATGGCTTTATGTTTTATGGATTGGTGAACAAGATGTCTACACCTCATGTACCATATTCATTTGTGCCCTCTGCACGTGGTTTGAACATGAACACATGTTAGAGAATTTTCAGTTTCAGAAAACAACTTTTCCTATTCGCATCCATGTTTAGAATTATGAATGCTGAATGTAGCATGATGTGCAAACATAAATAATGCATCCCTAATTAAGAATATAGTCGTTTCCTGGCATCCCGTTGGTGGATGGTCAGTTTTATCATATCAGAATGCAGCTGCATCATGCTCACCTGACTCTGTCGCATGATAGACCAGGCTCAGGGATGGAGGGAAATGCAATCCAATGGAAACTTCGGTCCAGCTTGTTTGCTATTTTCTTTGAGAACGGGGAATCCCATCTTCCAAGGCATAAGGCTCAGCACAACTGAGTCTGAGCTGGGTCTTTTCAATCTCTGAATTCACTGAGGCTAAACATCCTTTAGTATTAAAGACAGACAGGGAGCACAAATATAAACACCTCTGCCCTTGGTCCTTGAAGGGCAGAAGCAGGGCTTGCTCACCCCGAGTTAACCTCAAGACCCTGCCCTCAAGGAGACCCCAACTCTTTCTTCATGTCTCGCAAGCCCTTGGCAGCAAGAAAAAGGAGGCAGCCACTGCCTAGCAAGTGGAGATGCGTAACAGGACAGGAAACAACCATCCTGCTGAGAGCTGTATAAACAAGCCCACCACACAGCATTTTCAGTTCCCACCAGCTGTGTGCATTGTCCCTCTGCGATTAATGCATTTATTGGCAAATCTGAATAATCATGAATGCGAGCAGAGCTAACAAAGGATTAGGTGCCCACTCCTGCCTCATCTTGGAAGCTAAGCAGGGTCAGGCCTGGTTGGAATCTGGATGGGAGACTTGAGTCCTGCGCTGAGGAGGCTGTTGGACCCCAGAGCCTGCTAGGCCCCTTCCAAGTGTATGGGTCTATGAATAACTGCAAAGAGGAGAGGTGAACCCCAGCCATACCCAAATCCAGGAGCTGAATTTTGGCTGCCTTACAGCCTGTCGTTATGACGAGGCTCACATTCCCTGGCACAATGGTCCATGCATCACAGCAGCTGCCATTGTCTGCTATGTGGCACTGCCTGTCTCCTGCCCTCCTCAAGGTGCCTATGGGATCACTGGTGGGCGTTCCATCCCTGCACAGGTGCTGGTCAAATTACAATGCGCCAGATGGTCTCTCGCTCTGGTGACACAGCTGGCTGCATGCAAGGCGGCTGAGAGAGAGGCAATGCCAAAGCAAGGCAATAGATTGCCCACCAGTGAAATCGCAATTAATTGCTCTAAGAAATACAATGCAGCAGGGGTATTTTATTTTATTTTATTTTATTCTATTTTATTTTTGGGTAACTTTCCTAAAGGGACCAGCAAAAGAGAAGTTTCTTTGCTGCATCAGAGCAAAGTAGGCAAACAAGCCTTCTTTTAAAACAGGGAAGGGCTGGCTGTATTTTTGTCTTGTCTGCCCACCTGTCCTGCCCACTCACCAATTCAAGCATGACTGCCTAAAGTCTTAACAGGCCACAGAAGCACGCAAATCAAGCCAGGGTTCTAGATCTCTGGACAGCTACGGCTAAACGCAGGGATGGGGGCATGTGATATTGCTGGACTGCAACAGCTTCTTGTCCTAGCCCACATCACCAGTTCTGAGGGATGATGGCAATTGCCCTCCACCTCCTATGAGAGAAACATTACATTACCTGCGACTGTTCAGACTGGAAAAAAGCCATTAAGAAGAGGCACACCCTAGAGATGTACAAAATTATCTATGGGGTGGAGAAAACAAATAGGGAAACATGTTGCTAGAATTCCACAGGCTCTCGGCTCTTGTGCACAGTTCATATCTAAACAAGATCATTGAGCTGGAAAAATGCCAAAAGGTCAAATCAAACACCTGAAACAGTTCTACTATCAAGAAATATTACAACGCCTGGACTGTATGATGGGATGTAAGTAGCTCTAAGTGAAACTGAAACATAGGCAGCCCATTGGATGCGGCAAACAAATGTATTTTCCCCCTGAACAAGAAAATAAGGTGATTTATACAAAACAAATTGCCTTCTTGGCAAGATTTCTAGCAACCGGCAGGAGCTGCGTGGTCCTAGCAGCCAAACTTCCCTCTCAGGATTGTTGTGAGCATAAAATTGAGTGCAGGCCACTATGTTAGCTGCCTTGGATTCCTTGCAAGAGGGGAAAGCAAAAGGCAAAAAGCAATGAAAGTAACTAATACTCAGCAAAGAAATAAAGGGCTCCACTGCCCACCCTTCCAAATTTTGCAGATCTCGCCTGCTTCTCCCACCTCAAGGAAGCTACTTCTGGAGACTCCTCCTCTTTCACCCCATCCCCAATTTTCCAGGCAATATCGGAGTAGAACCTTCCTTGCAGCACTCATGAGAGGAGAGAGGAGAAAGAGAGGAGAGAACTGTGCAGTAGCAGCTCAGGCTTTTTTTCCCCAGTGTCCAAATGTTAGGATAAGCTGACGCCGAGGATGAACAGCTCTGCCTTCATCTCCTCCAGTCTCCCCTGGTCGCGTTGCTGAAAGGCTATAAATAAAGGGGGATGCAGAAGTAAACAGCTCAGCGGTTAATGTGGCAGGATTTACGGGCTGGGCGTCTCCTATGTAAAGCACAGAGTCCTGTCACCTCCCTTCGTTGTGGAGATTTGTAACGAGGAAGGCGCTGACGTAGAGTCGCCAGTGTGCAATGTTGCCAACTCAGGCGCAGGGCAGAACCAAGGATCATATTTTATCATTAAAGGCTGGCTCTTTTATAGATCTGATTGAGGGCTTACACTGAGCCACGGGGTGCTTTTATGGGAAGCGGCAACAGCGTAATCCTCACAGGGAAACCAGACTGAAAGCCGTGCCAGCCCATCATGACAGTAAAGGAGCTCGAACACAGCTGCTTCAGGTTTCTTGGAGCCCTGTAGCAAGAGGCCCTCCACAGGTCCCCCTTCCTCATTGAAACATAGAAACAGAGTGAGTCAGAAGGGCCTCCTGGGCCATCTAGTCTGACCCCCGGCTCTAGGTGGCTCCACTCATGACATGCCTACCATGTGCATGTCTAGCCTATCCTAGAACACCCTCACCGATGGGGCTTCAACCACCTCCTGTGGAAGCCCATTCCGTACCCTCGGGGTCCTAACTGTCAGGAAGTGCTTCCTGGCATCCAAACTGAACCTTGGTTCCTTGAGCTTGGCTCTGTTGGAGTGTGTCCTGCCTTCCTCTGCAGGGGAGAACAGGTCTCTACCCACCTCCATGTGACATCCCCTCACGTACCTGTATGTTGCCAACAGATCCCCTCAGAATCTCCTCTTCTCCAGGCTGAAGAGACCCAGTTCCTCAGTCTCGCCTCATGAGGCTTTCCCTGCAAACCGGCCACCAGCCTTGCGGCCCTGCGCTGCACTGACTCCAACCTGGCTATATCCTTCCTGTAATGTGTAGCCCAGAAAAGAACAAAACACTCCAGTTGGGGGCACACCAGAGTTGTATAGAGTGGCAGTGATACCACTCTTGATCTAGTGGTCACGCTTCCAGCTATGCATCCAAGGGTGGCGTTCGCCCTCTTGGCCACCGCATCACACTGCTGACTCATGTGCAGCCTGCAGTCAACCAGCACCCCAAGGTCCCTTTCACAAGTGCTGCTCTCCAGCCTCTTGTCCCCTAACCTGTCCTTATGACACCCATTCCTATGCTCCAATTAGTGCAGGACCTTGCACTAATTCACACTGACCTTGCACTTATTCCCACCATCACGCTAACCATCTGTGGTTTCTCCTTGTCCTCTCTCATCATTGCTACCAGTTGCTGGCTGGGCAGACAAAGAGCCTGGGGCAAGTACACCCTGGAGTCTCTTGCTTTTATGCCTCACCACCACTGCAGCCTGGACCAGAGTGAGTGGCAGGTTGCCAAGCAGGCTGTGATGGTGAAGAGGACCAGCAAGTCCTGGAAGCTCTTCTCATGGGTCCATATTAAGGTATGGACCCCTGATGCTGACCCTGAGCCAATCCAAAATGAACGGGCAAACTCAATGCCCTCTGGCCTCATCATCCACGGCTCTGGCGAGTCACGTACTGATTGCAAATGGGTTGCATCAGTGGATCATCACATCAGATAGTTCCGTTTTTGTTTTGTATATTTCTTGAGATACAGAAACGGAACAGAGATAAGTGGGGGAGGGGGGAGAGGGGGAGAAAGGGATAAGAAAAGAGAAGGCTAATCTCACACACGGAAATTTGCACTCCGTGTTTGCACATAATTTTCCAAATCAATGCATCTTCGTATGCAATGTTGCCAGGTCAGCGATCCACATTTCTTTGCAAGCCCTGTACCTAATGCAATGCTTTTGTTCACCTTGTTTTCAAACATCTGTGCCTTTTTGTGTGTCCTTTCCCCATTGCATACACTTTTGTATACAGATTTTGATGGGGTGCCGTTAGAAAATTTGGTGGGGTGCAGATTTTGAAGGAGAATTGAATCTCAGTGCATAAATTGTTGCAAGAGTATGGCTCAAAATTCTCCCCAGCCCTGCTTTTAAGTGCATCCCAGGCTCAGCGAGGTTCTTCCCTTAACTCGTGTCAGGACATCTGTCAACACAGCATTGCCCTGCCAGGTGTGTGAGATGCTGCCCAGTGGAGAGGAACAAGAGAAAGCCAGAGGTCAGCAGGAGCAAACGCTGTCACTTCTTGGGCTGGTTTCTACCAAACTTGCATGATGATTGAAAGCTGCCAGCCAAGAGTGCCTGGCCAACGGCGTGCCCGTTTCCAAGCTCATCCGCATGCCTCGAAATGAATTTGGCAGCAGGAAAGCCAGCTGACAAATGGGTGTGCACATGGCTTCTTTTGTCCCAGCAGGGCATGGCACTTCTGATGCATGTCAACGGCTGGTCTGTTGCTTTTCAAGCAGAATGATCAGCTGTACCATGTGTAACTGCAAAGCCTTCCCAGAATCTCCCTAGGGATTCCATTTCTAGCCACCTTCTTGTCCCAAATGGCTATGACTGTACATGTTGAGATGTACTTTTCCAGAAGCAGGTACTGTTCTTCTAGATCAAGGACAGAGAATGTGCCACTCTCGTGCACCAATGTACCCCCAGACACTTCCTTGGTGCAAGAAATTCAATAGGGGAAGTGACAATCCAGTGGATCTTCCCGACTTAGCCCCGTGAATTCTATTCTATCAACCTTGTGTTGCTGCTGCCTTGGTCTGATGGGAGTCAAGAGAACATGTGGGATTGCATTTTTAAAACAAGCTATGGAAACTAGGGAAACTCCCTGCAAACTCCAGGTTAGGCCTGCAGGTCAGAAGCCCATCATCCTGGCCATTGATCACCATGGTAGCATGGCTAGTTTCCCTTGGCAGAATCACCACAGATGGACCAGAAGTGGTGTTGCAGCTGCAACTTTGGGCACATCGTGAGAAGGCAAGTGTCACTGGGGGAGAAAATCATGCTAGGGCAAGTCAAAGGGGAGAGGAGGAGGAGGAGGAGGAGGAGGAGGAGGAGGAGGAGACCAACCAGGAGATGGATCCATAAAGGAAGCCACAGCTTGCAACAGCTGAGCAGGGCTATCAAGGACGGGACACGCTGGGGGGCATGAATTCACGGGGCCATCCTAAGTCAGAGATCACTTGATGGCACATTGCAACAAGAATCTGCCACCCACTTCACAATTTTCAATGACTTGTGGGGTTTGGTGAGGGAGGAAAAGAGGGACACTAGTCGCATTTTTCTACCCCTGGACCAGACAGGGAATTGCATTCTTTGGAGATGCGAACAGGTAGCCTACAGCCCGTTGGCCAGCCTGGCTGATTTTTGTAGCTACTTACCCCTGTACACGCATTTCTGTATGCATTAATATGATGATTCAGAAAAACGTACATTTGGAGGCATCAGCAGTCACTCAGTGGCCTTCCCTTTTAGCAACTAGGGAGATACATAAATAACAACAACAATGGTCCAAAATCAGGTGTGTTCACATCAAAATAGCAGCTGAACTCATCCCTGCGGCTTTCTCTGTTTGTTTCATTCCAGATAAAGTTTGTGCTTGCAAACTCTTTTTATGCCATCCGCAATGCTTCAGGCCCTGAGGATGTTACATCTCAATCATGCCTGAGCTTAATCTCCTGCCTTCTAATGAATTCCAGACTCATTTTCCTAACCTCTCCTCGCAGTCAGACCCCTGAGACCCCTAATTGTGCCAGTTACCCTTTCATGCACTTTTCTAATCCTGCAGCTGCTCTTGGTAATACGGACAAGCCACCACCGGCAGCAGAAGCCACTTTTTCTGGCAAGACGATTTTCAAGAGAGCCAGAAACTGCAGATCCTCAGCCACTCCCTCGATCAATTCCTGCTTATGAGCAGCTATTTAGAGGTAAAAAATAGAATGAGGTTTAACGGTTATGTATTATCTGACTGCAACGTGGGTGAAGGATATTCTTCATCATTCTAGATGAAATTATCTTGATTATTTGGGTGGCTACTGGGCAGGTTTGTGTGGGAAAGAAGCTGCACTGCTCTTTTTTTCTGTTTATATTATGCATTAAAATGTTGATTGCTTGAATACACAAGAGGCTTGGCTTGGGGTGCCAAATTCTAGAGCCCCCCAGACATTATCTGAGGGGGGGCATAGGGTATTTCAGATTTCCAGCCCTGAGGTCAGAGGCAATGCTCTAAACTCTGAGGTGGGAAGCAAAGCTCTGGAACTGTCTTCGCATATCTGGTGCGGCAAAACCACACTGGCTGCTCTGTGAGACCTGGAAAGAAACCTCAGGGAGCTCAAGGGGGCATTTGGGGGAGTCAGGTAGCCACAACTGGCCATCCAGGGAAACTGCATGATGGGAGAAATGGGGAAGGCCTTCTCCTGCTCTGCATCAGTTCAGCAAGAGCTTCCAAGCACCACGAGATACAGCTCTCTCCGGAGGGTATCCATTGGGCATGAGACGGGCAGTTGCTGTTGGCGCACATTCCCAGGGCATGCTCATCTGGACCAAGAGGAGGAGCAGGGGAGGCCTCAGAAGAACATCTGGGCCAATTCCAGATGTTGGGATGAGAGCAGCAGAGATGCTTATCTCAAGGCCAGACTCCACAGGTGCTCCTCTGAGAACAGCCCAGATGTGCAGCTATCGGGAGGGGCTTGAAACATGGGGGCTTCTCAGAGACAGACGAGGCATGGCTATTGGCCCCATGGCATGGCATCAGGAGAAGGGTACCCAATTAGAGGGCTGGCATGCAGAGAGGGGGCATGCTCATTTCCGAAAGGTCACTCCCAAAAGGATGGGGCCCAAATGTACACATAAGGAGAGTTCCCTGATGAAAACACTAGATTGGGCTCAACTGCTCTGTGCATGGTCAGAGATTCAGTCTAGGTGTTTGTGCATCTGGAAAATGCTTTGTTTAATACAGGACTTTTCGCAAGAAAGGTCTGTGGCTTGGGATGTGGGAGGGGAGGAACCGTAGCTCGTAACAATGGCACCATGTGAGAAGCAGAGAGCATGAAAGTGAAAGCAGGTCCGATGAAGAATGCATACGAGGAGCTGAGTAAGTTTAGGCAGGAGGAGCAGGATTACCAGGGAGGAACCATCTTCCACTAGCCACCTGCCATGCAGAAAGCAGAGCAGCCTTTTGCTTTGAAGGCAGGACCGGAACCAGCAGGTGGAAGCGGCAAAGACGCAGATGTTAGTTAACATCGGGAGAAATGTCAGGGACCTCAGTAGGATTTTTTTTAAACAGTGGGTAATGCTACTTGTGCTCATCTGCATTAGTGCTAGTGCACGCTTGTGCAAACTTCTTCTCAAATAAGCTTTCATGGACAATGCCCACTTCACTGGATTCCTTTGCATCTGATGACGGGGGCAGCATTCGCAAAAGCTACAATGAAAGTGTTACTCTTAAAGTACCACAAGTAAGGATGTCAGAGAAGCCCACAATGAATTCAGATTTCTGTACATTCAGATTCAGATTCTGCCGTGCACCTTCTCCTGAGCGGCATGGAAACTGTGGACTACTTTTTCATTGGGGTTGCAAGGTGGCACGATGTTTCATCAACACAACTGCATATTAGCACACTATTGCTAATGCGCCTGAACACTTGCTCAAATCGGCAGTAGTTAATACTCATAGCACTAACTAGGACATTTGCACAGGTGTGCATTAGTGTGTATGCAAATGAGCACAAGCAGGATTGCGTTCTTTCAAAATAAAAATCCAATTCCGTCAATGAGCACATGCTAGAATTAAAGATGGCTGGCAATTTAATGAACACAGATGGAATGGGATTACCAAAATCCATACATCCATAGCCACAGGATGCTGGTAGTTTTGTGGCAACAGACCAACAAAGCTACCCACTGGAAACTCATAGAGGCTATGCCCAGGTCCAGGTCCAGGGGGGCAGGAGTCATGACAGATGCAGAGGACCCAAAGCATGGCAGGGACTAAACACAGCCCAAAGTCCAGTACCTGAACCAAAGGCAGAGTAGTAGTCAAGAAACAGGCAGAAGTCTGGAACCAAGGGTGTGTATCAGAACAAGCCAAGGATATGGTCATGAGCAAGACAAAGGTTGAGAACCAGGAAGACAACAGAGCAAGGAGGAGGTTCCATAGATGGATATCTGGATGGGATGCGGTAGCAGCAGAAGGTAAAGCCAGCAAGGCAAAGTAGCAAGGCAAGGCAGGAACTGGATGCAGAAAATGGAACACAGAACAGCAAGCAGGAAGACCTGTGTTGTGAATTGATAACAGCAAGGTAGGAACCAGATGAAACAAGGGCCAGGCAAGATGCAGGGGTTGACCCACATCACAGACCCACATTACAGAGACAACCACTGGAGGGAAGAGCTTGCTCTTATACAGCTATTCCCCCAGATCTCTCCGCTGTGGCTTCTCAGGAAGCTGAGAGCTCCAGCAAGGTTTGTGTCCAATCATGACAATTACTATAATACTCACTTCATTTCGGGCCACTAGATGAAGCTCCAGAGCTGCCCAGATCCAAGATGGTTAGAGTTATTTGAAAGTGAGGCAAGCAACTTTGGCACAGGGTGGTCTTCCCTTTACTGGGGGTATTTCAGTAGTCATCTGTTGAGGATGCAGGACTTGCGAGATTCCTGCACTGAGAAAGGAGAGAGAAAAATGAACTAGATGACATCCAAGGAACCACACATGGGCTCAAATACTGAGCAATGGCCCCTTGCAATAGTGTATACACTGTAGTCATTCATATTGACCAGAGACGTTCCCTAGTTCATGTACATGTCCAAAGTACTTGTTTTCTAAATATTTTCCTGGGCTATGTCCCCTTCCCATGGCTTCACCATATTCCCTTTCAGATTTTGTAGATTTGGTCCCATACCCTGAAAGGCTAAAATGTTCCTTCAGAGCTATTGCCACTAACAGTAACAAGTTGTATAAGCTAAAATATGCAACATTTGGGGTAATTTTGGATACTTTTCCTTTGCCACCTTTTTGCCTTCCACCCCACATACCTCTTACATGTGACACTTTAGAGTGTCTCTAAAAATGGAGTCCTGCCTTTGGGCTGAGGGGGGTTCCACACCTGGGTTGTAGGGCCTTAAGGCAATGCAATCCTCCTGCAAGCCAATGGGGCCATCACAACTCATCCTGAAATGGCTCTGAGTTCATTTGCATGCGGTCCTTTGGCTGTGTGCTCCTGGTACAGGAATGAAGGAAGTCTAGATTGGCATGGCAGGCAATAAAATTCCATGCACAAGGTGTCTCGTAAAACTGCTGTTTTCACGTCTTTCCATAAAATTGTACAACACCTTTAATACAGGCCCTTGGCTTTTTATGGTCTTAATACTATTTATGATCTCCAAATGGTCTTCTTAGTCAGACTTGCGTGCTTGCAGAGACTCCGAAGAAAAGGGGAATCCTAGCAATTGAATTAAACTTCTCTAGACTGAGAACCTAACTTCTGTGACCAGGAAGTCAGTGATTTGCAAGGGTTTCTGGGTCTTTCCCACCAGGGCTTATGGATACATTTGGATGAAAACTCTCCTTATCAGATAGACACTGTCCTGGGTTCTATGAAGACCTGGTTCTCTCCATAATAAGTACTCTTCCTTTGCTGCAGAGAAGAGATTTCTGCCCCATCTTGACCCCTATTTCAAAGTGATTCAACTTTCATGAATATTCCCTTTATGGTTCATGGGTGATGAGGAAGGGAGCAAGGCCAATGTCTTGTGCCTGCATGTGGAGCATTCCCTCCAGGACTCCTGCCACTATTGAACCCAAAGATAATTCTATAATCATCCAAATTGAAACAATGCCTGATGGATGGGAGAGGCTGAGTTTGATCCGTGTTGTGAAGCATGCTTTACACTCAATGGGTTCGCAAATGAGCAAATGCATTATAAGTACAGGGTGAAAAGTCCCCTCGATTCTAGCGGCTGCAGTATTCCAAATAGCTCAATGGACAACAGTTCCCTTCCTTCTTTCATTGCTCCCTCCCTCCCTCCCTTTTTCCTTAGCTTGAATTGAAAAGAACAGAAATCCTTTAACATTCATGGATGGCTGTCCTTTAACGTTAAGTTGCTCCATCTTTACTAGCCTCTGTTATCAGGCATATCAACACCTCTTATTTCAACCCATTGATTTTTGCTTTCTTTGGGTTTGGTGCCAACATTGTCCCACCCTATACAATGAAGTTTTCCTGTAAAGGACTTACACATCCAGCAGAGAATCTTCCAGACTATCAAGCTGGCTCAGATAAAGATGGGACAGGAACTTAACCTGCTTTGTGAATGTCAAAGCTTTGGGCCTGGGCCATAGCAGATGTAACAGGCACAAGAAAATCTGGAAAAAATATTAAAAAGGCATGCTTTAGTCAGTGAAGGAAAGTGTGAGCTTTTGGGGGGAAAGTGCAGAAGTGTGCATGTTTTTCCCATTCTTAATGTGCACTTTTTCATTTCATTGAACAGAAAAAGAGGTCAGAAAGGAGCAAGATGAAGGGAATTCTGAAGCTGAGTTCAGAGTTCCTCAACAAATCTACGCATCCCTAGTTTTCCCATCCCTGTGTAGGATTCCTCTCCAGTCCTCCTGTTTATGCATTTGTCTTGTTCCCCACTCCCAGCCTGATTTGAGCAAAGGTTTTGATCTGCACACATTTTTCATTGACCAAATCAGCCCCACTTTAGTCCACAGAGGAAACACGTACCAAAATGTGTGGAGCTTTGCACAAATCTCCAATTCTATTACTGCTCAATTTGCCAAAGTTTTTGTTAGGACCAAGTAGCAGTTACAAATGGGAACCAGACAGGAGGTAACATTCAGAGGATTCTAATGATCTCCAACAGTTTTTGTTCACCCCTCCCCAGTAAAAGCAGGAATCAGTGGTCCCAAAGCTGGGATTGGAATGTAGAAGCCATGTGCTTTTGAGGCCCTGAATCATCCTAGAGAGCATTCAGATTCAAATGGGTGACAGCTTAACCTACTTTGTGAAGACAGCTCCTGTATTTCCAGCCCAAAGGCATAACTGCTCCATCAACCTCTGACTGCAAGGATGAGTTCCCTGAAACTTCTCCTGTCCCTCAGCCCTGCTAAAGAATGACATGAAAGGAACAACTACAAGCCCTTCAAGAATAACAGTCAGCAGCACGCAAGAGTGGAGTCACTAGAAGACCAGGCCTGTGTTTTTCAGGCCTCAGTTGGCTGCAGTCCTTTGCTAAGACAACATTTTTCTCCAGCAGACTGAGAACTATGGAGCTATCCATAGTCCTGATAGCTGTTCACCTGAATCCATGAAGGCTACATGGGTAGTAAATTGACTTGGCTTCACCTTACAGACTTCTTCTGACCTGACTGACTTCCTGGACCTATCCTACATTGTCCTGAATAACTCGACCTGATCTTTTGATCCCATCTATTTTACTTCTATTTCCTCTGTATAGCCTGCCCTTTCATGAGTCCTAACCCAAGGTGACCAGGATAATGGCCTCCCTTGTGCTAAAGGTCAACATAAGTGGAGTGGGGAACTGCAGTTTCTCATGGTGACCCACACTTTAACAGGGCACGGTCCCCAGACAGAGACTAAATCAAGACAATGATAAGCAGGGACTAGGAAATCAGAACTATATTGGGTTAAACGGGGACACTTGGCACATCTGCAGTTGATGCATTGCTAGTCTTCACCACGTGAATCATTTGTCCTTGAAGAAAAAGAAAAAAGGAAAGATACCATCTAAGCAAATAAGAGAGACAAATAAATGTGTTATCTTCTTTACCGAAGGGAAGTACAGAAAGATTAACTGATCCAAGGTTGTGCAAGGAGAACTGACAGAAATTGGCCCGGGATCAAGCTTTGGGAATACTCACTCCCAGTGTGCCCTTACTGCAAAACTTTCCTGCTTCTCCCAGCCTGCTCTAAGCAGCCAAAAAATTCTATGGGCTCTTATCAGTTTGGGTTGATTTATCTACTTTTTTTACACATTTCTATTCAATTGTATTTTGCTGCTTTGTGCTGTGTATACGACTCTGACTGGTGTAATCAATTTATTTTTTATCTCTGTTCTTTGGTATCCCTTATACCCTTGAGACTTAGAATGCAGTGGCTTGCTGCTTGTGACTACAATAAAAATGAAGCTCAGGGTGGGGAAGGTGCCGAGTTGGAAAACTGTGCTGTATTTTTAAAGGGGGGGAATGTAATGCTTCTAACAAGTAGGAGGCTCTCTAGAGACAGCATTCTTAAGCCACTGAGAAACTGGCTGGAGGGAGAGATGGAGAATGCTATCCATCTCGAGTCAAAGCTCATTTTCCCTTTGGCTTTCTGAGGAGGCGGCATGGAATGTAGCAGCTCCCAGGGCCAGTCCTAGCATGAAGCACAGTGAACCTTCTGCCAATGGGGCACCTTTTCCTAATTGTAGCTTTCAGCCAGGATTGTGGCTGGGGAGGGAAGGCATAACTCTCCCATCTCTGCACTGTGGTCCCTGTCCAAATTTACTCCTCCACAGGCAGCAATGGTATTTAGGAAATCATGCTCCATTGGTTGCAATGGAACATTTCTTCCTTAGTGTACCTTCATGCATAGACTGCTTGATTTGGACTGGACTGCAAATGGGAGGGATGGGTTAATCCAATGGGGACACCTGTATTGAGCTTAATCTGTTTAGAAAACAACACCATAGAGAGCTTCAGTGATATCTTCATCTCTTCTTCTCAATCTAATGCAGGAAGCTGGTGTGGAGAGTCTTCCTGGCTGCAGAGAGCTGCTGACGCTGCTGTTACAGAGGTTGTGGTGGGCGTGTGCCATCACATCATCTTCAGTCTATGGCAACCACGTGAATGAAAGCTCCCCAAAATCTCCTGTCTATGGCAGCTCCATTCAATTCTTCCAAGTTGGAGGCTGTGGCTCCCGTATTGGAGTCAATCTATCTCATATTTTGTCTTCCCCTTAATCTTCCACATTCAAATTTCCTACCATGATGGTCTTCTCCAATAATTCTTGCCTTCTTGTCTGAAGTACCACAGCCTGAGTTTTTGTTCCATTTTTGCTTCTAGGGAAAGTTCTGGCTTGATTTGATCTAGGACCCACTTGTTTAATCTTTCCATCCAGTGTATCCCCAGAGCTCTCCTCCAGCACCATGTTTCAAATGCATCCATTTTCTTCCTTTCAGTTTTTTTCACTGTCCAGCTTTCACACCCACAGATGGTGATTGGCAGTACAGTAGTTTGGATGATCTCAACCCTGGATCTCAAACATCCTTCCACATATCTGGGAGCAGCTAAAGATACTTTTAAGTATAAAAGATACAAATTAAGCCCCCAGTCATCTAATCCTAATAAGGAAGTTAGCATGATGCACCTCATGCTGCACCCCACTCCAGTTGAACACTCCTTAGAAATTTCTTCACCTTTAGCAAAAACCATGGAGTGGGGGCTTTCAGTGAGAGGATGATAGAAAAACTGCCTGATCATCCATGAATTTTAGACAGTATCGATTTAGCAGACAAAATCCATACGTCCATGGAATGGATCCATGAAAATATAGATGCCCTTTCAAGCCTGTACTCCTTTCATATAGTGATCAGATTCTTCTTACTGCTGATCCACCTCATGATTATTTATGGGTACAATGAACATCAAAGACAGAAGAGGGTGTGTGGTGAATCACAGCAAGGATTAGTCATTTTAGCTGTTCTCTTGTCTTCTGCAAACATAACCAGCCTCTGCTTGCAAGCAAGACTGTCGTCAGATGAGAAAAATACAGAGAACCCAACGCAGTGTTGACACAGAGCCTACCTTGAATGGAAATGTCCAGAGCATCTTTCTCTCTGCGGTTGGATCCCTCTTGCCTTGGACGTAATGAACAGGTACTGAAAAGCAGAGCCAAGCCATTGTCTTTCCTTTTTCTTGGCCCCTCAGATGTGAGGGTGCTTCCCAAATGTTCCCCATTTGGGGGGATGGCAGTTACATCTTCTCCCTTGCCTCGGTTCATCAGAAAGTCTCAAGTACATGAGTCACAGTGGGATGGACTGAGAGTCCAACCGAGTCCAGCGTTCTGATCACGTTGTTGCCTGTGGGAAACCAAAAGTAGGCCATGTGTGCAATAGCACCTTTCCAGTCACACTCTTGAGCAACTGCTGAACATAAGTATGCTACGTATTGGAGGGGGCACCTAGCCACCAGGACTAGCAGCACTGGTAGTCTTAGGAATTGGTCTAACCCACCTTTAAAAATATCCAGATGGGTGGCCAAGAGTGCATGTTGTCATAGCAGATTCCATTATGCACTATGCACTGTGTGGGGTAACTCCTTTTATTTGCTCCAAATTTATACCATCTAGCGTCATGGGATGCAACCCTTGGCCCTAGAATTATGAGAGTGGAAGAACAAAATCTCTTAATCCACTTGCTTCACGTGATGCACAGCTGTGCACTCCTCTTGCACGTTTCTCCTCTCCTCACCATCTTTCTAAGCTAAACAGTCCCGGTCATTGTAATATTCCTCCATAGGAAAGACGCTTTAGTTTTAGTTGCTCTTTGCTGCATTTTTCAACACAATGACATCTTTTTTATTATTATTTTTATTTTTGAGGTATGGAGACTGGAGCTGAACACAGCAGAGTTGGATACTGCATCTGGGGCATTGTGCAGGATACAAAGTGGCTACTTCCTGAAAACACAATTTTGGGAAGAAGCAAAGAAGCTTTGCTACTGACACAGTTAATGCCACCCTGCAAGCCATTTGATGAAAGGTCAACCCAATGCTGTGATAATGAACCCACCCCAACCAGCAGCAATAGCTCAAGCCAAAATGCCAGCTAGAACAGCATTTGCTGACCCCACTGCCTATTCATCAGGTCATTGTTGCAGCTCCTTCATGGAAGGGCTGGACTTCTTTCCATTGTCTAGTGGGCTATCTCCTTGGAAACCTTGGCTAGGTTCAGGGCTAAGTGGCACTATCTTCATTCAGTAGTGAGTGTGCATATGACAGCAGGTCATCCATCACTGGCAACTGCCTTGAATGTCTAAGTAGTGTCCCTCAAAGCAACATGGCTGTTCTCAGTTCAGACTTTTCCTAAAAGCTCTTCTTGCAGAGTCCACAGTGGCTGCATTATCGCTGGGGCATTACCAATGCTTTCTGGCCTCATGTGTTGCAGATTGTCCTGATTTGATTTGCCTCTCTGCGTTCCACAAGTTTTCTTGTAAAGCTATGTGTAAGAAGAGCCCAAAGAAAATGGTGTCACACCATGCAAACGTGTGAAGGAGTAGAGGGATCACGCCAGGTATCACACCGCTCCTGATGTTCCGGTGTTCACAGCAGTGCAGATGGATCACTTCAGATGCTGGACACAGTGGTCCTACAGGGCAGATGCTCTTTACATAAACCTGCTGCACTTTCATTCTCCTACATAGGAGCCTCAGACATCTGCCCCAAAGTTATGTGCTAATGGCACCATTATGCCCTTACAAGCTGAATGTAGATGGGCTTTCTCTGCATGGTCTGTACCCCCATCTTTGTAAGGCCATCTTATTCTGGAGAGAGTCAGCCTCTCAGGAACAAGACTCAGGCTTAACAGGACCATGCAGTGTTTCTGGGGCCCACACATTTATGCTGCCCAGCTTGGCTCCTAGAAGAGCTAATCTGAAGCAGGTTGAAGGTTCCTAGAAGAGTTAGTCTGAACCAGCTAACACTGGACAGTGGAGGTAAGTCTAGTGAAGTAGGATGGCAAAGCAAGGCCAGACCAGGCTGGGTTAGACCAGAGGAGTCTGTCAAGTCCCTGGACAAATGTAGGATGACCTGAGCTCTCTTAGGGAGAACTGTTGTCTCAGCAACATGTAGAGGTCATTTGAGGCCTTATGAGGATTGACTGGTCTTAGCCTGATGTTAAGCCCACCCTCTGTGAGGAGCTGTCTGTCTCTTGAAGGACCATTGATTTGCAGCAGCTGGTTCCTCCTCAGCAGAGTCAATGCAAACTGCACTGGACGAGGCATCTTCTGAGTCATCATAGTCTTCTAAAGTCACATCCTCTGGCCTGGAAATCCTGGGCTAGCAGATGACGCTCACAGGATCTTGTCTCCTCCACCTTGGAATCTTTTTCTGAGCCAGAGGGGGCATCAGGCCAGAGGAAATCAGGGTCTCACTGTATGGCTGTGAGCTCCCATTTAACTGCTCCCACAAGACCTTGAATGGACCCTGGAATTGGTGGTATTTTTTAAAAAATGACGCCACTTGAAGAATATGGCCACACTTGTGGTTGCCTAAGCCCCTCAGGGGCCCACTAGCCTGGAGTTGTCCCTGGTGGTCCATATGGATGGGCAGTAGCTCTCCATGTTTCCAGGAAAAGAAATTCTCCAGTCCAGCCTGCAGATGCTGATCAGGCCTGGAACCTTCTGCATAGAAAGAAGATGTGTTCTCCATGCAGAATTAAGACAGTCTCACCTAGAAGTAAAAGCTTCATGCATGCAAATATGTACATTTATGTAAATATATATTCCTCTTGCATACGCAGTCTGGGAGAGATAATATTGAACTGCAGGGTATTGCAATCCCTTACAAATTGAACACACCTCCATTCTCTCTTTGCTTGTAAGTACAACTTGGGTAAACTTTTACCATACCTTGATTAAAAACTTGGGCTGCCAAGGGATATATTAAATATCTATATATGTGGTGATTGAACAACTGCTAGTTTTTGCCTGCAAGCTGGTAATAAAACCTGCTTGATTTGAGCCAACAGAAATTTCATATTTGTCTAAACTGCAATGAAAAGTCCAGGAAGCAGAAAAGGGGAACTGTGGCCAGTGACAAGTTCTCACCCTGGAAAAATCATCTGCTCTTGTCAACACTGCACTCCATTCAAGCAGGGTTGTCTACCCTCTGGTCTGGGGGCCAATCTGGTCAGCCTAAGCCCTCTAGATGGCCACCTCCACATCCCCTGGTCCCACCTTCCTTCCCTCAGCCACTTTTTGTCTGATGGTTTCCAGCTTCTTCATACTTCTCGTCTCCATTCTAAAAGGCTGGACCACGTCTCCTGAGCCTTAGTTACTGGCAGTATGTGATTGTGTTATTTGGCCCTATGCCTTTGCCTTCAGGCATCCCCAGCATTACAATGCAGACCTTGAGAAGTTCTCCAAATTGAATTTGGCAGTCAGGCTGCAAGAGATTTTAGAGAAACATATGGGGGACCTAGCAGCTCCTTCACATACAGGTGCCCCACCGCTCCCTTGGGCAATTTCAGAGGACTAGAACACTCTAATTACACAGAAGTGCATTTTGGCTCCACCTTAAGAAGAACATTCTGAAGGAAAGAATTGTTCGGTGGTAGAAAATACCTTGAGAGGTGGAGGGCTCCCCTTCACTGGAGGTATTTGAGTAGAAGCTGGGTGGCCACCATCTGTCAGTAATACAGAGCCAACATCTGTGCAGATGAACCCCAAGAAGACCTGGGAACTCACTCTGCCTGGAAGTGGGTTGAGAAGGTCCTGCTGAGATGTTTAGGGTGAAAGAGGAGGAAATGGAGGAAAACAACTCTGATGGGGAGGAGGCCAGGCAGCTGATGCCCACTGAAGTTGTCCGTCTTCGAGTGAAAAGGAAGAGGAGAAGCAGGAATCGGAGATCTGAGGTTAAAACAGAAAAGGAAGCACAGTGCAGCCGAAGAGGCCACCCAGTGGAGTGGCCCACCTTGAGTATGGGGTGGTGGCCCATTTGGCTTAAACTGGGCAGGCCATCGCCTTGCCCAACAGTGTCCTGGCAACCTTCTTTTCTGCTGCTGTAATGTAGGGAGCAGCACTCAGTAAAGTCTGGCTGGATGCTTTGACTCTTTTGACTGCAAGATCTCCTCTTTAGCCTGAAGCAGTGCTGGCTGGTGGGTTGCCTGTGTATAATCAAAGCGAATGGATTGAAATTCCAAGTTCCTGCTTGTGCAGTGAGAGAGAGAGAGAGAGAGAGAGAGAGAGAGAGAGAGAGAGAGAGAGAGAGAACTGGCATCTGTCATTTGGATGCTGCACCTGCTCCAAGCACAGGGCTGGACTAGATGGTCTCTTAAATACCTTCCAATTTTGTGCTTCGGTGAGTCCAGGAAGAGGCTTAAAAGTACAGTTTGCATAATTTAAGACTTTCTGCGAACATGAAACCTGAATAATTAATGTCAAACGACATGCTAATCACCTTGGAACACAAACAGGAAGGCAACTCTGCCCTGCTCTTGCATACGCACACAGTTCTCATTAATAGATAAGAGGAGAGGGAGCAAGATGGACGCCTGCTGAGCACTGCAAAGGGGTCCCCCTTTTGTCTTTTATGTCTGCATCTCCGTGCAGCATTTAAAACATGGATTCCTGATACATTATTTAAGGGAAATACCTTTGATTGTATTGCTTGTTTCCTTTTGCAAAGGCAGATAGCCCAGTCTGTCTATAGGATCACAGCATCTCTCCACGATTAATTACTGTCTTCTTTTCTCCCAGTGCCTGGCCTCTCCAGAGTTTTACATTTCATTGTTAAAGATCAGACATTGTGTCATGGGAGAGTCTATCTTCTTGAGATCTTGGAAAGCTGGTGAAGCGCACCAGGATGGGCAATGACGGGCTAAAAGGAGGGAAGCCCAGGCCTTCTCTGTTCCCACCTAGATTCAATTGTGGCAGATGCAGATAAGCTGTGGAAAGGCCCCCACCTGAAATCCTGCCCAGCCAAGGGCCAGTGTTAGTTCTGAAGAACTTCTGGGGGTCCACAGGTTAGCTGGAGGGAAAGGCAAAGTGGGCCTGATCCAAATCACCCCCAAATAAAAAGAAGAGCATGTCACATCAGCACAGGTTCTACTGCCAGGAGCTGAGGTGAGGCATGTCAATCTTTTAAAGTGGGAGGGGGAGCTGCACAAGAACTAAGCCTCGGACCTGGTGTGAGGCCTCAGCCCCTGCCTCCACCCCTCCCCCATGCAGAGCACCCCCTGATCTCCCTTCCAAGGCACTTTTGCAGCCAAGGTGGGGGAGGACAATGTGATTCTTTCCACACCTGGGGCAAAGGGTGCGGGGTGCAGTTGTGTCCTTCTAAGTCCCAGCTGCAAGGTCGAAGGTTCTCAGCACTGGGACTCCCTGCAATCCCATGGCTTCCCCGAGGTATCAGGTGCCACAGGATTATGTCCTCCAGCCTGATCCTTTTTCCTCATTCTATTACCTTTTATTATTTTATGTATTTGTATAGCATTGTATTTTTACAGCTCTATAGCATTTTAGCCATTTGTAAGCCATCCAGGGAACAGGCATTCTTACGGCATTTATTTATTTAGTTATTCTCTGTTCCAACCAACAGCTGGATCTCTCCTGGGCAGATTGGAACTGTAAAAAATGCTTAGGTAAATAATAATGCACAAAAAGAAAAAAAAACTCTGCTTCCCATAGAGAAAGTGGGAATAAACGTGTTTGTTAGGGGGAAGTATGCATTCTTTAGGGAGCATCGCTTGCTAAAAATGCATATTTTAAAAGCGCATTGTTGGAAGAGGCATATGAACATGAATAGCTTTAGATAAATGCCCGTGAAAATAATATGAATGTACATGCTGGCTTTAAAAAAATGCAAACAGATGTAGAAGCATCGTGAAATGGACTTCCCTGAAAGAAAATGAGAAAGTGGGTGCTGTGGGTGTTCTGGATGCTTGCAGCTTCCCAACCTATTATGATATCCAATTTTTCTTTGTCGGGGCCACAGAACCGGACCTGCTAGTTTCTACTGTGTGGCTGCTTCAGATGCCTTCAGAGCATGGGGAAAAGGCATCTTTGGGGAGCTGGGATGATGCCATTTTCTCTGTGTCATCTCTTCTTCTTGGAAAACCACAATCCTCAGAGCCTCCAGGCATCAACATTTCACCTTCTACAAGAAGTCAATGCCCATGCACTTACACCCACTCTTTAAAAATCTCTTTGAGGGCATGGGACTAACTGAGCCGGGAGTTGTGTCCTAGCAAAATGAATCAACTGTATGCTATCACCCTTGGATACAGCTAGGGAGAGAATTCATACCCATTCGGGATTTTCTGCCCCTGATCTGCAACAGACAAAAGTTGCAGACTTGTGGGCCAATTTTGTTGTGGGGGAGAAGTTTGCACAACTTTGCAAACTTCTGCTGATGAGTATTAGCATCCAGGTGCATTAGCAGAAATGTGCGCAAATTCTCTGCCTCCTTGACAAACACCCTGTTCCATCAAAGGGCACACAATGGAATAAAAGACCCCAACAATGCATGACGCACAGATGGGTTGACAGAATCCCTCCACCTGAGCCAGGCTCCTCTGCTCAGTATGCCCCCCTTCTAGTCATGGGATGGATCCTGTTGGGATCCATCCCTCAAAGCACTTCGGGACATCCTCTTGTGCCCAGCTTGGCCTTCCAAAGTGAGCTGAGCCAAGAGGAAGCCTGCGAAGGCCTGGGGACCCCCAGTTGTGCAACCAGCAACCCTCAAATGTTGGCTGCACTGGACATGCAAGAGAGTCTCTGCTTGCACAGAATGTGAAGCTCAGTTCCTGAAGAGAAACCTGTGAAAATGGGGTGCACTTGCCAGAAATCCAGACTCCGGGCCACTGCAGGGTGGACTGAAGTCTGGGGAGCACAGCCCTGGGAATCTGATGGTTCCCCACCTGAAATGGATTCCTCAGACATTTCTACCCTCTTCTTAGAAAAGTCCCTGCTGTAGGCCTGCATTAAGATGCATGCTGGGGAGCTCTATAAACCCATTAATCAGCCAGTTCAGCTACCAGTGTATGGGCAGAGCCTGCATTAATCAAGGTTCATGAGATGAAAGATGGCCTTTGATCACCGATAAAATGCCCATGCAAGCAAGTGAGCACTAAGCATTGGTTGTTTGCCAACTTCAGTAAGAATTAGCCCTTCATTTTGGAGTCAAAATTCTCTGGAACAGCCCCATCCCGAAAACCCACAAAGCTGGAGGCTTTGGGTGACATGTGGACTGGCTCTTCCTGCTTAGAGAGGTTTCTTTGCAAGAAACTGAGTTTCCCGTTCAATAGATAAGCAATCAGAATGGGAAAGCTCCATTCTCTCTGGTTCTAAACAGCTCTCGTCAGTGTGTGCAATGAAAGAAAACCTTCTCTGTGTGTTTGTGCATGTCCGTAAGAGAGAAAAGATAGAGTGAGAGGAGGATGGAAAGATGGATTGCACACAGCTGAAATTGGTGTAGCTTATTACGCTGTCAGAGAGCAAAAATTCATTGCCAAGCCAGATGGAGTACAAATGCCCGCGAGTGTGAACTCCAAATATTCAGCAATTCCATCTGGTGGTTGTTACAAGGAAGTCCTTTTGTGAGCAGATGGGGGGGATCCCTTCTGAGTGTGCATTTTGCAGTGGTCGAAATGGTATTTGGTCAGACGGTGAACATCCTGGCATGGTGGCAGCAGTTTTGGATACCAGTCAGGTATGCCCGGATTTTAAGACAACCCTCAACTGCACGGCACTTAATTGGTTTACTGGGATTTCATGAGCTTCTTAAACAGGCCATCTTATTAATTTGTATCTTTGCATATGCATTTTAATTTGGTTCTAAATGCTGCATAGCAACCTTTTTTCAATTTTTAATGTCCTTCAAATTTGACATTGTGTCCTATGTTGTTACAAACTGCCCGGGCAGCTCTGATGGGGGAGAGGGTGTTTTAGAAATTAATTAAATGGATAAACTGGGGGAGGCTGCCCTTTAGAACACCTGCCCATGCTAATCGCACCCTTCCCGTCCTCAGGTGTGCCAGCCCCAGGCCGGCCTCCTTGCTTTGCTGGCTCCCCTCGCTTTCCCTGCACACTTCTCTAGGTTTGCAACGACTGCTTCACAACGGATCAAATGGGTAAGTCTCGGGCACGCTCAACACCTGCTAGCCCTGTGGCACTATTGCCCACCCTGGGCTGACAGCAGCTCATCCAAATGATGGACCAGAGCATAACAAGGCAGCGGCGAGGCCAGGAGGGTCTCCAACAGCATCTGCTGCGCAAACAGGTGCTTACTTCTCTCTGTCTTGTTTCCAGGTTTAACACTCCAGTGCTCAGACAGGGAAGAGCAAGCCTGGGGAGTCCTGGCTAAGCCGGAGAGAGGGTTTTCCAGCAAACTAGACCCAGCCAATCCCCATTTCTAAATCAAGACTGCCATCTAGTGGCCAAAGTCGAGCTCTACCGATGTTTTGATGTGGTTGCTTGCTTTTCTTCAAACTTTCCAGTGGAGTCATTTGGGCAATACAGATTTCCCACACAGGGAAAGCTACAATGCTTGGGGCCTTTTCCAGTTCAGAGAAAAGGAGATGAAGGATGAAGCGACATTACTGGGATTCATAAAATAAGACATGAGATGGGAAAAGTGGATAGAAAGAATGGGAGGGCTGCCCCCGCCCCAACTCTAGCTGCTGCACAGGGATTATCTATTATCTGATTGGGATCGTGTCTGGGAGAGAGAAAGATTAAACCTTCCCACTGCCATGAGCTTTCCTCTTTCCTTCTGGTTCTCAAACTCAAGACAATCCTTTGCAGTGCAGTTTTTCACTTTAGACTTACCAAATTACACAGTAGAATGAACTCTAAATAGCCTTCTACCAAAGCTGAGGGAGAAGCCTCTGCCCATGTAAAGAGCTGAATCTGAACCTGAAACGCCTCTGTATCTTTCATCCCTTTCATCAGCTGCCCTTGGGGTGGCTCTCATGGCTTGTGGGCCAGACGGCAGAAACAACAAAGACCCTCTACCTAGACAGTCTGTTTCTCCTGTAACCTCCTTACCAGGCCAAGGACGGGGTTCAAACTTCGCACCCTTTCTCCTTTCCAAATCCAAAGTAGACCAGTTCTCAAGCTCTGCTTCAGGAACTTCACTGGGCAACCTTGAAGTGTCAACATCCGGCCACCGCTCCTCCTCTTCAGAATCCGAGGGACCTCAGAGGAACCAGCCTGCAATGAGCAAGTGATGGATGCCCCCATTCTGCATGCCCTTGCATGCTGCAGTCCTGAGAAGAATCAAGAATCATTTTCAACAAACATACATGCTACTCAATTTGCTTTAACAGGCAGACACAACAGGGGCTTCTGTCAGTTACTTCCCCCTGTGAGAGGCATGTGTGTCCCCAGAGAGGCAGCCAGCCCAGCTGTTCCCATGCCAGCTGCAAAGGGGGCAGGCCATGGGTCCGACATAGCAGCATCTTGGAGCTGGGATTCTGAATGGACCCTAACCTCTACCCAGACAGCATCAAAAAGCCACAGAGTTGGGCCCTATTTAAAATATACGTGGCATAAATTGGTGCCGGTTGCTTGTTTAATTCCTGTTTGGTTTTGTTTTGTTTTGCTATTCATAGTTTATGTCTCATGGTTCCTGAACAATTTCAATCACCTGGAAAGCTTCAGTTATTGAGCACTATAATTAAGTTATAAGATCACCACACCACCACCACCACCACCCAAAACTGTTCAGGTGATGCAGTCTGGTCTGGCTCTTTGGGCCGTCCAATGAAAGATGTCATGAAGGCAAAATGACTTCTTTGTGTAGTGTTCCATGTACCTTGTTCCCATAAAGATGTGGTGAGATCCAAGCATAAACATTAAAGAGTCAACTTGGCCCCCAAAGGGACCCAGATGAGCATGAACGATGACCCATGGAGTGTTGATAGAAAAGGAAAACCCCTGGGAGGGTGACTCAGCTTGCTTGACTCCTCCAATTTAGGGTGCAATCCAGTCTGGGTCCCCATGATCCTCTGAAGATCCTATTTGCCTCCGTGTTCTCCTGCCCTGCCAAATGCCTGGACGACTGGCCAGACAGGTGGACGACTGAGCTGGAAATAAGGTGCAGAGGGCCAAGCCCTGTGATCCCAGCATGACCAGGGTCAGCACTGTCAGGCAGCAACAGCCCACACAAGTTGTCATCTATCCCTTACCACTGGCTATGCTGGCTGGGGATGCTGGAAATGGCATCCCAACCACATCGGGAGGGCCACACATTCTCCAGTCCTGCTCCAGCTCCTCCACATGCAATCTGAGAGGGTGGCACCCACCCTTGCTGCAGACGCCCCGATCCACCAGGTTCCACCCTAAATGAAGGACAGGCACTGAAAGTAAACAAGCAAGTTATTTCAATACCCTGGCTGAAACTGCCTCCAATCTGGACACGCACCTTGAAAATAGATTCTAAGTAAGACAACACCTGACAATCTGGCTTAAACCACCAGATGTCACACTTGGTCTTTGTGTCGTATTTATTTGCCTGCTTCTCCTCTCTGTGTTATGTCAGGCAGTGCAGGAAGAGAAAAGAATCCAGGGCCGTGCTGAGCCATACCCAAGCCCCATCGAACCCATTCTCTTCCGAGAGCGGTCGACCCTGTGCATGTTGGATGCCCACAAAGAGGACATGAGTTCAGCGGCACCTCCAGCCCTTGTGTTCCCCAGCAACTGGAAGGCAGAGGCATGCGGCTTCCAAAACTGGAGGTGATAGATGGCCACGAGTTATGGTGGCCATCTGCTCCCAGTTCCTTGGAGCACGACTGGGAGGGTGCTGCTGCTTGTGGGTTTCTCTGGGCCGCCGTGGGACAAAATTTTCGTAAAGTGAATCCCCTGGATTGGCTCAGTGGGACTCCCCTTATGTTCTTATCTGTATTTGCAGGGCTTCAACACTGTTGGGAAGAGCAGAAAGGATTCTATTACCCCTTCTTCCTTTGAATTCTGGTGCTCAAATATCTGTACTTATGGGGAGAATGGGAAGGGGTGGTTGGAAGCTCATAGGGTGAGGGAGTTGGAGACTTCTGGGTGTAAGGCGATAGGTGGTCTTCTAAATTAGAGGGGGCTGGTGGGTCAGAGTCCATGACTGTACCTCATTGAGCTTAAATTGCTTTTACTGTTGAGACTGAGAAAGAGAACTGCCTTGGGCATTTGTTCTCAAGGGCTGCTGGCTGGGCTGCAGGGGAATTGAAATTGGGACTTGAAACAGAGCTTGGGAGACCCTGGGAACATGGGCCATCTCGGGACAATGAAATGAGAGAAGTGGAGATGCTTATCTCAAGGTCAGACTCCCCAGTGGGCTGGGGACAACCAAGCCGTTCAGTTGGTGGGAGGGGACTTGGAGCAGGGAGAGGCAGACACGGCTCTTAACCTCATGGCTCCTTGCCACCAGAGGAGGGCAGCCCAGTTGGAGGATGCGCATGTGAAAAGGAGGCTTTCAGAAGGCTCCTCCCAAAGGAATGGGGCCCAGGCATGCTCATAAGCAGAGCTCCTGGAGGTGAATGCTAGATTGGGTTCAACCAACTGCTCTGTGCATGCTCAGAGATTCATTCTGGGTCTTTTCCACTTTTGGTCAATAAAGAATGCTTTGCAAGGAAAAAGGTCTGTAGCTTTTGAATGAGTGAAGGAGGAATCCCAGTTCGCAACATTTACTATTATTCTTGCTAGTTTATTTCTGCCCCAGCAGCCAGCTGAGGCTCCCTGGGCAGTTTACACAGCACATACATTACAATAAGAATGCAATGGAAAATAAAAATATAGTAAAGCATAAATGCTATACTGAAGAATTTAAAACCCAATTTAACTGCTACAATAACCAGTACAAAATGTAAGTGAGGACATAGGATGAGTTAGACAGCTGAGTCGTCACCCCAATAATGTCCCAATATATAATTTAGGGCTCAAAGAGGACAGTCTTAATCTGGCACTGAGAGGATGGTAGTCTGTGCCAGGCAGGCCTCAGTGGGGAGCTGGCTGTGGGGCCCCACTGAGAAGGTTGTTGTCACCAACCAAGCCTCCACAGGAGATGGGCACTGGCCCCAGATCTTGGTTGTCGGCTTTGGGTAGTTTGCGGCTTGTTTTCCTGACCTTTGAGAAATATCCTGGCTTCTGGGCCAATTCAAGGGCTCACCTTTCCCAAGCAAGTGCAGCCTTTTCTCTTGCTCTCCATCTACCTGTCTAGTTCCCACCGCTGCACACAAGGCACAGCAGGGGCACATCCCCTGATCCCGCTGTGTCCTTCTGTGTAGAATAGCTGCAGGATGACTGAATCCACAACTGCCCTGTTGTCATGTATGGCTCCTAGTTAAAGCATCCCTGACGGATGGCTGTCCAACTGCTTCTTGAATGCTTCCAATATGGAAAGGCCATGACCTTCCCAGGCTAACAACAACAACAACACCGAGCCAGGGAGACTGTGGTGACTCTTACGCATTGCTGCTTTTGCTCTAAGCTTTATAGGAAAGATTCGTGGTGCCCCATGGGTGTGAATCTACTTGGGAAAGGAGCTCGGCGCCATGGGCAGGTCCTATAAATCTCAGCCAAAAAGTGGCCATGGGTAATGATCCCCACTGACAGAGGCATAGTCAGCCTCCTCTTCTTGCAGCTGCCTTCTCTACCTGCTCCTCTCCAGGTGGATGACAACTCCCAGCATCCCTGGCCATTGGCTGTGCACTGGAGCTAAGCATAAGTAGATATGTCAGCTTTGGTTTCTCTCAGCTTCTCACTTTTACAGTCTAAGTTTAAAAGGTTTTTTGTTTGACTGTATTTTACGGTGTCATAAAAATGCATAGACAGTTTGTGCACATTCCTCTTAAAATATGCATTAACATCATTTTGCCTAACAAATACACTGTTCCAAGCAAATTCTGTATTTAATGCATGTGACTCCTATTTTCATTTATATATGCGTTTGTTCACATACCCCTCACACACACATCTTCCATTGGAGGACACTGCAAAATCCAGAGAAATGCAGACTCCAAAAGAGTGTGGAGCCATTACTTGTTTATCTAACACATTATTACCCTGCTTCTTAGTCAAAAAGTATTCCCAGTGCAACTTGCATAAATGGATAAAAACAAGGCTTACAATCTAAATAGACAGGACACAAAAGGAAGGAGGGAAGAAAAGAGTGGGGAGAGAGCAGAGAGGGGAGAGAATAGAGAAGAGAGGGAAGGGAAGGGAGAAGGGAGAAGGGAGAGCACGTGCGTGTTTAGCAGGGCTGAACTGTTCTCCTATTTCCCATTGTACTTCCCTCTGACACAGCCTGCTGGAGCGGCCATGGGTGGGGTCCATGCACCTACAAGTTCAAACATGCAACATTGCCCATTTCTCTCCTGCCTATAGCTGAGGCTGATGGAGGTTAGTCCAAAGCCTCTGGAGGATTAGCAGGTCCGGGCGAGTGCGCAGCACGGGCTCTTTGGGGAGGGGTGGTCCCCGGCTCCCGCAGAGCTGTCGCTCCCCCTGCTCAGCACAGTGCCTCTCTCATGTTCAACATAGGGGGAAACCTTCTTCAGGGAGTCTGAAGTGCTAATGGGCCATGAAGCATATGGCAGTGTTCTGCCATCTCAAGAGCCATATGTGCGGCCTACAGACTGTCGGGATGCGACACACTACAGATAATATCCGTGATAAATTATTCACTTAACCAAAAATTGTATATCAAACCGCGGCAGCTGGTAAAAGCTGGAGCGACGCCCAGTACATTAAGGGAAGTTTGCTTCCTCAAAGCTTGACGGTTCTTTGGGGGATTTTGAATTATGCATGTTACTCTGAAAGCTAATGCCGTCCATACGCATTCAAAGTTATTATTAACCTCATCAAGCAGAAGAGTGATAGAAAAAGCAGCTGGTTTTCGCCTAACGCATTTAGGACACAGGGACATTTTAAAGGAGTTACTGATAAAGGGCACCGGGGTCTATTCCTGACAACCTGGGAGCACAGGTAGGTCTTGGGAGATTTGGCTGCCGGGTCTGCTCAGAACTGGAATAGCAACACACAATCTGTCCACGTTCCCTGCTTCCTGGCACCTGTCCCTAATCAATCAGTGTTTGTACCCATTTGATCTTTGGGGAAGGTGCCAATTAAAGCTGTCCATTAATCAGTGCTAGAACTGCCTTTCATTAAGCTTCAGGCTCCTTTCTCTGGTCGCCCGCACCCTCAGTCTCAAGGTGCAGCTGTAAGGGATAAGGGTTTGATGCCTCTTTTGGCCGCCCTCTGGTCTTCTCCCTGTTCTGACGAGGAAATGCTGATGGCCCCTGTTGGCCAGGAATCCACCTGAAAACTACCAGAGGCAGGGCCTTCAATACAGTGGCTCCCATCCTATGGAAGGCCATGAGCTGGTCTTCCCCCCTCCTTCCTTCCAGGAAGAACCAGGACAAAAGGCTTCCTAACTCATGTCTGTATTATATTGAAGCTGGCCCGCTAGGCTGCCTTTGTGATGTTAAAGCAGCATATTGTGGAATTCAATAACATAAGACACCAGCAGAGTGAGAACACGATCTGTTAGCAGCCAAGAGCAGAAACTCCTATAGAATTAAAGAAATCCCCAAGCACACAGAAGGTTTCCTGTAGGGATCAGATAGGGAGAGGGCCAGCACAGGAGCTAACAGGTGGCACCCCCTTAACAACTGTTGCCATGCACCTTGTGTCACGGGTACCATCAATCATGCTCCACCAAGTGGATCACACCAGGAAAGCTGGGGGCGATTCATCCTGTCTTGCATGGATGCCTTGTCCCATTTGCTTTTCAAAATCAGGGATGTGGGATGGAGACTGGGCTTGTTCCCAAAGTTCCAAAGATCAGCAAGTTATGCCTATGCAAACCGGCCCCAAAGGTGGATTCAGTGGACACACGCAAGAGCATTCATACAACCTCTTTGCCATCAGATCAGGGCAGCCCAGAATAGATGGGGAAAGGTTTTGTGAACTCCGACAGATGGCTGCGCATTGGATTATGTAGCGAGAAAGCCTTAGCTGTACCATATTATATTATAATGTAAAACACACATTTGGGTCTTCATTGTCTAGCCTTTCCTCTTCTGCACTTGACAGAATGCAGCTGGCAGGATTTGAGACACAATAAGGTGCAGGAGGGGGAACGCTGGATCGTAGAACCCAAAGTGCAAATAAATATTTCACCAAACATTAGCACACTAGACCTGCTAACATAAATAAAGCAGAAGCAAACGGCACACAGCTTCAAATGCCATTTGGCTTAAGTCATCTGTCCCTTCAGTCTGAGAGATTTATTCCGAGGCAAAATATGGAGACGGGGGCAGGAAGAAGGATTGCTTTATTCTTGGCCGCTTTGTCTCACATGCAAGCAGCAAAGGGAGAGTGCAGAAAGGGCAGGAAGAAGTAGGGGAAGCCAGACACTTTGGTCTGGTGAGACGGCTAGGAAAACCAGAACCATTTGCAATATGTAAATGAAAATGTAAATAAAACATCCATTGCTTAGAAAACAAGCTTTTCTTAGAGCATTCAACAGGAATTCTCAAAAACGAACGTGCACATACCCACACGCTGCAGACAAGGAGAGGGCGGCTATCACGACCCTAAGCTCGCAGACTCCGTGCCTACCAGAAACCAAGCTGAAGAACAATTTCTCAAGCGGGTCCTTCTGCAAAAGAGACTTTCACTAAGATCCACACAATCAGAACCAACTTGCTCAAACCAGCGCCACCCCTGTGCTGTTCCCCACATGGCCCTCTTCTTTCTCAAATACCACCAAGCAATCTCTAGCAGCTCAAAACAGCAGGGATACAAATACGAGCTTACAAGATGGCAGGATGCCTTGCCCAGCAACCCCTGCCTTCCGAGGGCTCTCTGTTGCTCTCCGTTTCACCTCGATGCATCTTATTTTGGACTGAAAAGCAGCCATTGATAGTATTTACTTCCTATTGACTTCGTTCTCAGGATGTGTGTACATGTGCTTGGCTACAGGATGGCGAGCAGGAGAGGACTGAACTAGTATTGACCTCTCAGATACACTTCTAATCACGGCAGTCCATCTGAAACGTGAAGGCAACTTTCTGGGCCACCGCTTACTCTCCTGCAGCCGCAAGACCGAAGCAAAGACGAACACCCACTGAGCCACCACACACCTCCTCCTCCATGCCTTTTCCCTCCCCAGTTCTCCAAGCAGTAGGAAGGGTCAGAGAAGGCTTTTCATTGTGACTGCGATCGTACGAGAATGTCATTTCTGATCATAATCTCATCCACGAAAGCAAACCCAAGCAAGGACATCACTGGGGAACATCTTGAATTTTCCACCACTTGCATTTGCATTTTTAAAAATCTGCACTTAAAAAACACACCTTCCCACAAATTTGCATACTTCGCTCTGGCAAGGTGGGTGTGTATTTCGATATACTCTGAGCAGTAATATCTGTATATCATTCCCCCCACCCCCAGCAGCTGTCAGTGCTATCCATTTCCTTTGGTAAATAGGTGCATCGTTTTGATGCAAGCGATGCACAATAAACCAGATTATTTGATTTCATCATTCCTGGCTAAGATTCCCTTCATTACCATTGCACATTATCTCCCACACATGAGCACACGTCGGCACGTTGTGTATGTGCAGCAAGCCGAAGGAGGGGCAAGTCGGGTTGCAATCAACACAGCTTAGAACAGGATGTGGCAATGCCCGGCAGATGACTAGGCTGGGGTAAATACCCAAAGCACGTCGAGGTGAGCAAGCAATGGCTTCAACAGGGGACATTTTCAAGAGGCTCCACTCTTTGCTAAGAACAAAGTGATCTAAGGAGCATGATGACAGGTCACCTTCTTGGAAAAACAAACAAACGTTCATGGGATAATGGCCTGGTCTATTAATATAAGACATCATTTGCTCTGTGTTTCATTGGTTGTCTATGCCCTCCAGGTGTTTTTGGCCTAACCATCCCAGTATCCATTACCACCGACTGTTCTGAATAGGGCTGACAGAATTTATAGGGCAAAGGAACCTAACCATCTGGAGGACTTCAAGTTGCTCCCCCCGATGCAGGTGAAGGTAGTCAACTCATGATTCCCGTCCCATCCTGTTCCTTCCCCTCCCCCTTTTCTTACTTGCTTTGTCATTGTCCTCTTCATCTTCTTCTGTAGATCACTTAGGCCTAGAGAGCAGCAATTCCAGGCTACCTGTCTCATTAGGCAGATGTTACTTGGAATGATTTATGGTTCTTTCAAGCTTGATATCCCCACGGAAGATTGTTAGTGAAAAGCCCAAAGTAATCATTTGGAGCTCGGATTTATGATGTTTGACTTAGCCATTCTCGGCAGGCACTCTAACCAGAGGGAGGTGGGCTGAGGGCAGTAAAAGGACAGTCCCTAGAGACAGGAATATACTGTCCACTCTCCAGAGACACCCGAGGAGTAATTTCCATCAAACATGGATGGGATCTAGCTCAGTGGGGAACCCACATGGGGAAGGGAGTGATACTGCAGATGACAAGGATTTGTCCAACATCACCTTTGCAAACAGAGAAAGCTACTTTATACTGAGTCAGACCATTAGTCTATCTAGTCCAATACTCTTGACTCTGACTGGCAGAGGCTCTCCAGGTTTTCAGGCAGTATTTTCTCACAGCCCCTCCTAGAGATGCCAGAAATTGTACCAAGGATCTTCTTCCTGCAGAGCAGATCCTCTACTGCTGTGCTAGAGCCCGTCCAATGCCCAGGGAGAGGATGGAAGAGGTTTATGCCAGAGATACCAGACAGCCATAGCCATCTTGTTTGCTTGTTGCCCATTGGTTGTAATTTTCTGGATAGCTTACAATAAGTACACTAGAACTGGTTAGATCACAACTGGGAAGTTGCAGACTTCCAGATGAACTATGAGCTCAGAGCACCATCATCCCTTACCAGTATGGGACTGTTAGAAACTGCAGTCCAACATCTAGAAGGCAACAGGTTTCCCACGCCTGGGTTAGGCGGAGTGTCCAGTGGCTTATATAACTTTGCTTTGTGCCCCCGTTTTCCTGAACAATGAGATTTCCAGGGTCAGCATCATCAGAATGAGATATTTTCAGAAAGATGGCTGTTACGTGCTATCAAGTTGTCTCTGACTTATGGTGATCCACGAACAAAATCCCCCCAGAATATCCTATCCATGAGAGCCCCGCTCAACTCTTCTAAATTCAAGGCTGTACCTTCCTTTACAGGGTCCATCCGTCTCTTGCTTAGTTTTCCTCTTCCTCTTCTGCCTTTAACCTTCCTTAGCATGATTGTCTCCTCCAGGAGGCCTCCCCTTCTCATGATATGTCCAACGTAATCGATCATCAGCAAGACTGCAATGCAGAATTGAATTGTCCAACATTTGCAGTGGAAAGGGTAGATTGCCCACTCATCCCATAACTCAACCAAACATTCTCACCAGGATCAAAGCCCTGACCAATTAGAAACCATCCAAGGCTTTACCACAGGCTCACCTGCTGACCAGTTTTGAATGTACACAGTGAGATGCAAAACCGTATAATTTTAGAAAGTGGAAGTCCTCGTTCTCCTTGCGTTCCCTAGTTGGACATTATGGCTGGGGGATGCTGGGACTTTTTCTTTTCTGCTTGTAGAAGCATGGGCTGGCATCACTGGGCTCCCCAGCCACATCTTTGTTAGACTGACTACCCGGTCTGAGCATCCAGTCCCAGATGTCAATTTCCCCCTCCAGTCCGAGACGGCCTGTCAGCCATTTTAAACGAAGTAGCAAATTCATGCAAAGAACCCTTCAGAACCACGACATGCGTTTCATGTTCAAGGGCTCAGTTGCTTCACTTTTTCTTGGGCGGCAAACAGCCGTGGCCTCTTTTCCCAGGAATGGCTCCTCACATTCCTCCACAAAGCTCTTTTGAGCTTCATGCCAAACCTTTCTCCCTGTCATACGTTTTTCATCCTCACAAGGGGGTCCCCCCCTTTGCCCGTCTTTTTTTCTTTCTGTCTTTCTTTCTTCTTTTAAAGCAATGCTATTATTCCTCCACATCCCCCTTTAGAAGAAAGAAAGAAAGAACGAAAGACAGAAAAGCCCAGTTATGTCCTTTATTTTAACTGAACTAGTCAGGGAATATTATGGGTCATTTTGTCACCATGGAAACCACAAATAGGCCTTCAAAGTTTTGGAGAGGCACTACGAAGGCCACGGAGTTTCCTCTGGTGGAGAATAATCAGGACACAAAATCAATGAATCCTTTTTTATATGGATGGTGTGAATTGCAAAGCGGCATCCAACAGCCTTTCCCTGCCACTGCGAATTACTCCAGGCGGTTGTTTAATGCGGCTTCCTCTTGACACCTGAGCCCAAATGGAAAATTAATGAGGCAGCATGATCTATGGATCTTTTTAAATCTCATAACCAGACTCCTTTTGAGAATAAAAATGGCCCAATCAGCTTGATATTAGCAAAGAGGGTTCAGAAGCATCTCCTCTCCTGCCAAACCTCGGGCATCGTGTGGAGACGGAGACAGTCTTTGTTTTCCGCAGAAGCAGTGGACAAGAGCAAATGCCTTCTCAGGCATCAGCTTTCTTCAGTGCTGAGCTGTTCCCCATAGGCCCCCAGAGGATGGAAAGAGGGAAGGAGCAGGGAGATGGGGAAGGGGAAAGCAAGACCACATCTAGTGGTGCAACAGAGCAATGGCAGAATTCATAGTGACTCACGGCCTCTTTCTTACAAACTTCTGACCACCATTTCTCCAGTGAAGCAAGAGATGGTCCCTAAACGCTTACAGGATTTAGTGCCAGCTCTGAGTTTCTAAGGCCCTTGAGCAAAGCACATTCAATCACCCCCTCTCCTTCCTTAACCAGCCAACTTTCACGCCACCACGGTCACCAACTTGCTCCTTATCCCTATTCCGTCATTGCTGGCACTCAGAGGCTTGTCAGGCAGAGTCAGCAGCCACAGAGCATCTCCATCCTCCTTCAGCATCGCTAGCACCTGGGCCAGAATGGGAGGAAGGTGAGCAAGCAGACCACCATGGTGAAGGGCAGCAGCAGATCCAGGGCTTGTCTCAGCGTGCTTACGCTCACCAAGTGCCCAGCCAGGCCAACTCCTGGCACCAGCACCAACGAAATGGCACCCTTTCCTGGTTTCCTAAGCTGCATGGCCTATGCCTTTAGCAAGCTGTGACTGCAGGAAGCTGTCCAGAGGTGCTGTGAAATAATGTGGGCTCAGCAAGTGAGCCATTCTGGTGGCAAGCTTCCATCATGTCCTCAAGGAAGGGTCTACATGCATGAGAGGGCTGAGAAATGGGCGAGTTCATACTGAACACAAAGTGATCAAAGCCACACTTCCTGAACTGCCACACGGACCTGGATTCCGGGATGGGGATGGGGATGTGTGTAAATTGCTATAATTTTGTGAAGCAGTTCTCCTACTTAAAATAGGCCCATTAGGAGAAAGTGCATACCAGAATGAGTATATTAAGGGAATGGGTTCACCATATTGTAGTATATTAGTGAAAATTACTCACAAAAATGCACATACTTTGAAAAAATGTGTACGCAAAGGGGAAATTTGGAAAAGGGCACACAAAATTGCATAATGTAGGTAATTGCACATAACTACTTCTGTGCGTACTTTAGAAAAAACACAACTTTCAAAACAGAGGTGGGAAGGAGATGGAACGACGCTGAAGCAGGGAAAGTGAGACATTGAGTGCAAGTGAATTGTAGAGCTTTGTACATTCCAACCCTTCAGATACATTCAGAAGCTGCCAATTAGAGTGTGGCCAGGGCAAAAAGTCAGTCCAGAAGTGAACTGGAAAGCAAAAGAGATCTAGAAACAGGCAAACAAAGAGGCAGGGTGTGGGAAAGCAGGAAGTGGCAAACATCGGATGCAACTATGAAGTTCAGGGGGACAACAGTGTCATTCACTTGTCAACCTGCAAATATGGAGAGCTGGCAAGTAACATGAAGGATTGGTCCTGGATTTGAGAAGCTGCTGAAGGTGCAATGCCAGACCAGGTGGTCTTTGACAGTGGCTTTGTCCCAGGAAGGCCTGGGTGCACATTCCTTCTCAATCATGGAGCTTCCTGGGTCATCTTGGACCTGCCACTCGCTCACTCAAACAGTTGCTGTGAGGATAATAGTGGAGAAGTCCATGCAGACCACCCTGTAGTCCTTGAGGGAATATCAAGGCAATCATGGTTGTCACCGCCTTCATCATCACCAATGACTGAAAGTACTCAGAAGACTCTGGTGTCCTGTTGTCCATTGGTGAGGGAGATGTGATTCCTGGACCCTCATCCAAGATCTCTGACACCTCAAGCATAGAAGATAGAACCATATGAATCTGAAGGGACCTTAAAAGTCATGTAACTCAACCCCATTCTCAGTCAGGAATCTTGTGACAACAGAAATAGCATTCAGTACTGCAAAAGAGAATGGGCCCATTTATTACGCTGGTCTTACACTTAGGAAGCGCCTCTTACTCTTCAGCCAGGATCTGCTGCCTTGCAAATCCCATCCCTTGGTTCTAGTCCTGGAATCTGGAGTGAGACAGAACAGCTCTGCTCCTTCTTCCAGGTAACAGACCTTCGGATCTCAACAGGACCTCTGCTTTTCTCTACTTGAGGTTAAGCAGAAAAAAATTAGCACAAAGATGGAGATTTCCAGGGAAAGGAAAGAGAAAGATGAAAGGATTCATATAAGCAAATATTAGGGGAAGTGCGCCCACTTGGAGATGTTTGAATAACTAGGAAATTATCTGTGCTGGCATTCCTATTGGGCGGCCTGTTGTGTTACAACTTCAATGCGGCATATCTGTTAATAAGGACAGTTAAAAAGGCTGGTTGCTCCTTTGATGCTGGTGGTCCATGTGACACAGGTCCATAAAGCAGAACTTTTTATGGTTTCTATCACACTCATTTAATTTGGATTTTAGAGCAATTCCACATTGTAATGGGTGATCCGGGTTGTTATTCTCATTCTTTCTTAGCACCTGGATTTTAGGTGCTTAATTGAGGGAGAAATTTTTACAATTGGGGTTAATCCTCTAAGTGGTAATGAAAGGTTGGCATTACTGCCGTCTTCCTTTTCGCTCCAACTCCAAAGCAACAATGGCTGATCGTGAATGTTAATTGTGTGAGGATTTCTTCTTTGCTTGCACGACAGATGAGGACACCCTATTCAAGGCCCCAAATGCAGTAGCGAGTACTGGATCATCCTCGTTGCCCTCCTCGGAATCCTTTCCAGTGTCTCTGCATCTTTCTTAAATGGTGGTACCCAGAACTGGATGCAATATTCCAGATGGGGTCTCACCCCAGATTCTTCAATGGGGGGAAGGGGGCTTTTTCTGCAATATGGACTTGAAGACAGGTTTTCCACTTGGGATTTGCACTGCTCCTCAGTAGCACTAATTTGCATTCACCCACGTGCAAGTGTGCCCTTGCACTACCACACGTCAGCACCAGCGGAATGAAATTGTGCTTCGAAAAACATCTGATTCCATCAATGAACAGACAGTGGAATGAAAGATGTTAATCTCCAAAAAGGAAAAAAAGAGATAGAGTGGAGTTTACACAATCTCTCCCTACACAGAAATATGCCCTTGAAGCTCTTTGCAAGCTTAGCACTGTTGGCTGGAAAGGAAAGAGGAGAAAGGACGCTGGCCATCCCCTAAAAGCCTTGTGGGGAATCACAAAAACAATAGCAGTAATGTTCTATTGTCTCTCTAGGCTAGCGAGCCACTAAGACTAATGAGCTCATTTATAGCCCCTGATGGAAGTAATTAAATCTGAAAAATCAAAGCACAACATTCTTGTTTACTGCTCTTCAAAAAGCAATATTCTAATGGAATGCCATCAGCAGCTAATTGAAGCACTAATCTTGACCAGGCCTGGGTCCATTGCCAAAGATAGATAATCTATCATTTTCTTGTCTGGGAAGCAACACAGCACGGCGCCTGGAGAGAGCCCCGATTAGATAGATCTGAAAGAATATAAAAGGAAGCACAGCAAGGCTTTTCAATCAATATTTTGATCATGTTGATGTTAAATGTCCGTCAAGCAGCAGGGAGGTTTGTCTAATGACAAGGGCATGTTTATGAATGACAGATTTTCTTTCCATGGTGTCCCTGCCAATTGCTTCTCATGCATTGCAAAGCGTTGCTGCTATCAGCCTTCTTTGACCTGCAAGGAGGGCTTCCACACTCGCCAATTCCTCTATTGGACCCAGAAGATGGATGTGGCTTGATTCATCCATCTTCTATCATTCTGCTTACTGATCTCTGGATTTCAAAGACCCTTCCCCAAGGTGATGGTGTCCAGATGTTTTGGACTTCCAACTTGCATCGGCCTCAGTC